ATGAACAAGAAAAGATTTGCCCAGATAGGAAAAGAAAAAACTTACTCATCCATCTGTTGGTTTCGGTGCTATCCCTCTTCTCTTCCTCCACAACTTCATTGTCTGGCTACAGTTTCTCTCAGACACAAAATCTCTAGCTGATGCGTTAAATGAAAATGTGAGCAGTGGGAGATGAAAGGAAGTGGCATGTGAGTTGTCTGTTTGGCTTTGCAGTAAAATCGTGTTAGTAGGTGGAAAAAATATTTTAGATGGAGAAAACTAAAGTGATGGCATTGCTTCAACCTTGAGGTCCTTTATGTCACTCCCCCTCACATGTGTACTAGGACACAGACGTGTAACTGTATTTCACACAGTAATGAGCTTCCGAAAACTGGCTTATCTCTGCCGTCCACTGCATGTGCAATGACTTTCTCCCTCGGCCTCAGCCTTTTTCCTCTGCATGTCTGTTGGTCTATAATGCATCTTCTTAAAGCTGAGCTGAGCCTTTTGCCACAGCTGCCTGCATTAACTGTTGACAGCTTATTGCCTCCAAGCTCTAGTCACTCACTGGTGCCTGCCAGCCATCAAAACATCTGTTATCTGTGAGTTTCCCTTCCTTTTTCTGATACACACTAATGACGTAGGAACGACGTATGAATACAAGTTTAGACAGATGTGTTTTTAGATTACTATAAATTACGTAGTTATTCTCCATTATGTAGAATTTATTGTGACAGGTTTTCAAGTTCAGGTTATGCTCAAGTCTTTAGTGTTTGAGTCCAAGTGGAAGTCTAAGTCACACATGGTTAGCCTAAGTTTAGTAGAGTCAAGTCGTCATTTCTCGAGTTCAAGTCATACTCAAGTCCTTAGTGTTTGAGTCCCAAGTGGAAGCCCATTTCACACAGAGTTGGTCTCGTTTAGTTTGAGTCAAGTCACTATCTTATAGGCCAAGTTTGACTCCCAAAAATAATCTTCCATTCAAATATCCAATGTCCAGTTTCAATTGCTCTTGTTACATTTGGACCCCAGAAAAGAAATTACAATTGTGGTTTGTCTGCTTTGTTGTGGATGCTAATGTTAGCTTGTTATATTAGTTGAGATTACTGATCATATTTGATAATCACAACTTCCCAAAGCCTTTGTAAATGTACAAGAGACATGTCTGTTATTTAGTGTTGATTTTAAACGTTTGTTTTTCCACGTGCTTCTGTGTTAGATTGGTGATAGCGTGGGGGCATTGAGTTGCTCCAGCCTTGTCTTCTATGGTCTTCCGTCATACTGCACATCTGACGCTGCCTTTTCCTGGACAGTGTGCAGTATATGTGCATTCTCTCTGGACACGTTTTTAGATTCACTCTGCTGGCGAATAATAATCGTGTCATATCCCATTGTTTTTGTAACTGATGTGTAAAACAATATTTATGTCGGACTGATATGATGTGATGCTGGCATCACTTAGCAGTGAAATATTACATCTGTGCATGAAATCTATCAGAATGACTGGCGTGTCGCCTCACTGCAATAGTACATCAAGCAAATAAATATGAATTGCAAAAAAAATAAAAAAATTTAACTTTGAACAGTAACCATAAAAATTCACATTAAAACATTTAATGAGTTTAAAAAACAAATGACTGAGCGAGCTTTGAGTTTTGTTGGACTCTGCTCACAATTTTGAAGAAGTCCCTGTTTTGACAGTTTCTCAGAGATTTTCCCCACAGACAGATCTGAAGAAGTCATCCACAGCTCCTGTTTACTGCCGAACAATACAGTTCCTCTGTTACGCCCCTTCCACTCGGCTGCATGAGATTCCTTCCTTTGAAAATCCACACAGCGATATTCAGGGATGGGCTCATTTCACGCTGTTTGACTCTCAGACTATTACAGAGACTAATGCTGTTGATGTTTACCTGTGGTATGAAGTCATTTCTTGCTCTGCAGGACCAACATTTTTGTGGTTTGTGTAAACACGTGTGTAAATGTACTAAAAAGCTTGATTCTGTCTGAAATCATGAAAAATTGGAAATTACTGGTTATATTTAACTCTGGTGGTTTCTTGGATACATCAGATGAAGAGCCAGGTTGTCATTATGTTAGCAGGTGTGAAAACAATGAGGTTTTCACCAATAGAAAGCGGGTTATTGGTGCTTTAGACCAGGGGAGTCTTTGGGGATGTGATTGCTTAACCTGCACTGTTTCCTCTCATTGTTATATTTTCACATTTTCACATGCCTGCTTGTTGTATTATTCACAGTTGAGTGATCGAAATAGCAGATTGTGTCAGATAAAATCCACACAACTAGGTTGGGTTGTTTACGTTTTATCTTCCATGCTTGGATGATTGCAAAGTTGCTTTGAGATTCAAACAGAAAACATCTGCAGCCAAAATGACGCACCTTCGTTGAAAAAAAAAGCTGGCAGAGTTTTTTAGGGCTGACCTTGTACACACATAGCCAGTATCCCACAAAACAGAATATTTTTTTTTATAGTTTGGTTTGTTCTCCAGTGCTTTAAGTGAATTAGGTTTAGTACACAAGTATGTACTACTTGCACCTTTTTCTGCACCAGCACTTCTTTTTGCATACGGTGCATACCACTAGTTTTTCCGGCCGTTTATCAGCCGAAATGTCAAAAATTACTGAAAAAAAAAACCCTGTCTGCCTTCAGGTGAACAACATCCAACCATCCTCTCCCATGTGGTCCCCCAACCGCCCCCCCCCCCCCCCCCCCCCCCCCCCGGTTCTGTCTGGCTGTGAAGCAAACAGAATTAATGTCTGAATGCTGGTGACAAGCCTTACAGATTTACTGTCGGGTGGAGCATCAAAACGTCTGCTTTTAATGTCACGCCTGATACTTAAAACTTTATTGTTATTGTTTTTGAATGCTTTGTAATTCGGACTAGACACGGAGACAGAGGTGAAAGAGAAAGGAAAAGACAAAAGGTGGGGAGAGAGGGGGGAAGAAGGGGGTTTCCACAAAAATAAACAGTAATGAACAAGAGTCTGCTTCTAGACCTGCAGAGAGAGAAAGAATAGAAAAAAATGGGACACACAACAATACAACAGGAGCAAGCTATCACTGCGTCAACTTGAAGAAATATACAATCAGCATTGTTTAACTAAACAATCACACGATAATAAATCATAGTACATTTAGTGGCAACGACAGCCTTAAGACATGTATTGAACGTGCCCAAGCCCATACTTATGAGAGCACCATGTGAGCACCTGTGTGTGTACATGCGCTTGTTTATGTAATGTTTCTCTATAAAAGCGTCCAATAGAGAGTGTGAGGGACCGCAGATCTGCCCCCCAAAGATGTGTAGGAGACGGGGGGAGCTCCAAGCCCCAGAGATCCAGGCGCTGCCCCAGAACACAGGAACCCCAAGGAGACTGCAACCAGAAAGGCCCCCGCCCCCCTCAAGAGGCACAGAGGATCGCCCAGGGGGGCCTCAACCAGCAGCCGGCAGAGTCCCGGGAGATATCAGTGGCAAGCCCACAGGCCCGCCCGCAGCCTCCCACCCCCCTAACCGGCAGAGCCTGGGACCCAGCGACCCGGGACCCAGGGGCGACCACCCCCGCCGGGGACCCAGCAGAGCCCAGGGACCCAGACCCACCAGACAGCCACCAGGATTGATCAGGCAGACGCCAAAAATCTTAAACCCCCTGACCCGGGAGCCACGAACATTCAGGCAGACCAAGACACCGCACTCCACACCAGGTGTGACAGGGGGAGGGGAGACGAAGATCTATCTCACCAAAAGAAGTCCCAGGAGAAGAGAGGAGTCAAAGGCCCCACCTGACATATACAGTCATACACAAACACAGTCGCACACTCCCTCCCTCATGCTCACACTTCTACAGTCCTGGACTCGCCACTAACATCAGCTGAGCTCCAGGAAGCTCTTAAATCCATGCCTAATAGGAAGCTCCAGGTCCAGACGGGTTTCCTCTCCCATGTGGTTAACAGAGGTCGGAGGGACTCTTCTAACTTGTGTTTACACTCGCTCGTCTTTACAAGTACAATTACTTGTATGTAGAAAACCCCAGGCGAAGGAAGACGTTAAGGATGGTTATTGTCCACCACCTAGAGATAACGCATCTGAGGAGTGTTTTTGGGCAAAGACACCGATGATTTGGGGAACTACTGCCAGCTACGCATACCAATGACTGATCTTCACAAAGCACTGGATTTTCCTTTATTTTTTTTGTTGTATTAGCTAAAAATGAGGTGGATTGGATGCTTTCCTAGAAGGCGTGGGAGGATTTTACAAGAACCTGGTTACATGTGTAGATGGCCTAAGACAGTTTGCTTTGTTTTTGTCATTGTCGACATACCTGTAAAAGAATATTACTCGAGCTTTCATGTGGCAAACATAAATCCCAGTTGTATCTATTATACCTCATGTAACATTGACTAGGGCTGCAGATGACTGGTCACTACAACACATGGCAACAAGTGGACCTACGTACTTTGGGCTATATCTGTCCCTCTCCCCTTCGTTTTCATTAATCATGCAGGATCCATAGATAATGGATGGCGTCTCAAGCCTTTCACTGCCTTCAGCCAAACAGATCTGTTAACATGACCTATATACATTAGTGAGCCATTGTATGTGCAGACATGCACCACTTAACAGGACGTCAAACAAACATGGACTTAGTGGATAAGTGTCCTATTTTGTCTTTGAGCGGATGCATTAGCTTTGTTTGTTTTGTACATTTTGAGGCAGAGATTTATTTATTTATTCTTTGACACGTTTAAGTTTTCTGTTGAAGTGTGAAGTGTAGCAGTGGTGAGTAGTTGGGCCGCATGGGACAAACATTAACAGGAAGTTAAACATCATCCCTGAGTCATCACAGCTTTTGCTGAAAGGACATATGTAGACGTAAACACAGCATGGTGGAACACCTGCAGTAGTATCAGATCATCTGTGTCAAATCTTTCTCATGTGAGTGAAACCCATCGAATGGACTTTGAGACCGGCCTTCTTACTTTCTTTTGTGCGTCCCTCTATGCAGGTCAACTTTGTGGCGTGTCAGCTATTCGCCCTGCTGATGGCTGTGTGGTTTCGGATCTATCTCCATCCAGATAAAACCAGTCCCTTCATCAGGCATTTTGTGGCAACTCTTCTGGGCTTCTACTTGGCTCTCTTCTGCTTTGGCTGGTGAGTCACCCTTCTGTAAATCCCACAGATTACCATCCTCCTTCCTTCCTTTCTTCCCTGCTTCCTCCTTCAGAATGTCTTCATACACCACTGAGAGTGATTTTCTTTTCCTGCAGCTCGTGGCCTTGTTTGAATTTCCTTTAACACTTTTCCAAATGCTTTCTAGATTTCTCATGGTTCAGTTATTGGTCTATATTATGTAATGTTATGTAATGAAATGACATGTTGTATAATAAAGTGTCCACTTCTACCACATCGGTTTCTTTTAATCATCATTTAACTTTATTTCCCAGCATGCTTTTTCATAATCCTCAAAAAATTTACTTGAGCATTTCAATGACGATTTTAATAATCAATGCATTTTTTTAAATTCTATTCATGATTCTAATAAAATGTGTTTCTCTGGTTTACTGTTTAACACTTTTTATTTTAAATTAAAACTTTTTTCAGCTCCTGCTCTTGCAGCTTCAAGTTGGCTTGTACAGGGGTGGGCTTTAAACTGTTGTGTTACATGTCACTCATGCCCTTCCTCTTTTCTATAATCCTCCTCTGCTCTCTTTATCTTTGCCAAAGCAAACTGGCTGTAGCTGATATATGAAACAGTTTTTCTCAGTAATAAAGAGCTCTGCTGATATCTAGCAGAGCGCCTCTCAGTGCTCCTGGTGTGGATGTATAAGGGATGCCAGACATCCAGACCAAGCTGAGGGGACAGCTAACCTCAGCCCTCTGTTGGATATTATTTAATAAGTTTAAACCCTTTGTTTTCTCACTCACCCTCTAACAAGATGTCTTTTTTTCCCCCTGTATTTTAGAGTTAAGAAATGATTCATGAGTAAATGTGAACAGTTATGACTCTCATTTTTTTACAGTATTTACGCAAATGTTTGGTTGGTTGGTTGTCTATCTGATTGGTTTGTTGGTTGTCTGATTGTTTGGCTTGTTTATTTGGATGTCTGTCTGATTGTTTGGTTGGTTGGTTGTTTGTCTGATTGTTTGGTTTGTTTGTTGGCTGGATGTCTGTCTGATTGGTTTGTTAGTTTGTTGGTTGGTTGGTTGTTTGGTTTGTTTGTTGGTTGGTTGGTTGTTTGGTTTGTTTGTTGGTTGGTTGGTTGTCTGTCTGATTGTTTGGTTTGTTGGTTGGTTGGTTGTTTTGTTGTGTTTTTTGTACCATAACCTTTTTCAGCAATTTGTTGTTCAATAAGAAACCAGAACATTTGTAAATAATGTTATACCAACTAATACTAATCTATCCATTCCCAGGTGCTACTGCAAGCTAGTCAGTGGTGTGACGCTCCCACTGTCACCGGGGCTCGTCTACCACATAAATCTGTTACTGGTCATAATGGTTGTTTTGGGTATGTTGTTTGTTAGGATGGGCAGATGTCATTGTTTTGAACCCTCGTGTTTTCTGCTGTAGGGGCCTGGTTTTGTTATGGTACACCTAAAATCAACAAAGGCATCAGGAGCTGAAAAAAGTTTTGGAGTGCATAAGTGTTTATGTTGTCTACTGAAAGCGGAAAATGCTGCAGTAACCTTATGTGCAAAGTAACAACTTAGTATTTAGTAATTTATTATATGTACACTAAAATATACTTGAAGAGCAAACATCAGCTAACACAGCTCCACTGAAGCGATGTGCTACAAGTAGGGATGGGTACCGAATTCGGTACTTTTTAAGGTACCGACCGAATTCCATAGTACCGACCGAGCACCGATTCACGTCGTTTCAAACGGTGCCTCGTTTCGATACCCGTCCTTCATAACGAGAACTTGCCAAGACAGGTGCGCATGCGCAAGAGCGTTATGTCGTCGCTCGCTGCGAACCAGTTGAAAACAGAGCAGCATGGGTAGAAAGAACGCACGCTAAAGCTTGGGTCCACTTCACTAAATGTGATGGGCAACTGGGTGATAATGAAACCAGCAACAACGATCTAAGTGAGACATCCTCATCTTAATCTGCTCCAGTAGGTAAATAAAATGTTTAAGATAACGTTAGCTTGATATGTTAGCTTCCGTTCCGCTAATGGTGCGTTCGCTTTCTCCTCAGAACCCCGAATTTCCGACTAGAAGAACATGAACGCGCTCTAAAGTTTGGCTTCACTTTACTAAATGTGACGGGTGACTGGGTGAAGATGAAACCAGCGACAACGATCTAAGTGTTAGGCATCATCGTTTTAATCTGCTCCAGCAGCTAAATAAACTGTTTAAGATAACGTTAGCTTGATATGTTAGCTTCCATTGCCACCGTTGTTATCAGCTAATGGTGCGTTCGCTTTCTCCTCGGAAATTCTAACTTCCCAGTAGGAAAAATCAAATGAAAAAAGACGGCAAAAGGAATGAAGATACACAGTAAATTTAGTTCACAGTAAAGATGTTTGCTTCAGTTTAATTATCAGCTTATAAAACTACAAGGACGATGTTAAAATAGAAACAGTTGAATGTTATTTATCGTGATATTTATCAAATATTGTTATATATTGAGAAAAATATATATTTAATTATAAAAGAGAATTAAAATAATAAACACTCAAAAGTATTGAAAATTGGTACCGTTAAGTACCGGTATCGATTCCTAGGTACCAGGAATTAGTACCGAATCGATTCAAATGTCAAAAGGTACCCATCCCTAGCTACAAATGTCTCAGCATCACAACAAACAGAAAACAACCTTCAATAAAACATTATTTTTATTTGAGCGGTGAGTTTGCACAGTGAATGTAGCAGAAATGGCCACTGTGTTTAAGTGGTTTTCACTTTTATTTGTATTTTTAACTTTCAGCAAGTTCTTATACATGAAATCGCATTTCTACGGACAAAGGCACAGAAGAAATACAATAATATTCACATATACTGGAGTATAAGGGAGTCCCTGATAACTTTAGCCTACAATTATCAAAAAAAGGCTTACATACAAGCAAACACTGGCATAAATAATAACAATGACGTGAATTTAAGAACGCTATTACTAATTTTAGCTTTTGCCGTTTGCACATAGCACACTGTTCTTTCTCGTAGAGGGCAGTGACCACAGGTCCCTATAGATAGTACAAGGTGTTACTTTATTTTAGAATGTGTTTCTGCTAGACTCAGCTTTTTTCTTTCTCTAAATGTCTTGAAAAAAGAAACAATTGTTGTAGGATTGAAACTGAAGGAGTTAATTTTACATTTGTTATTCCAGGCTTAGGTTTTAGTTTCCTTTTATTCGTTGTTCCTTCTTTCATCATTTTTATTTTTCTTATTCTTTATTTTGCACTTCTTAATTTTAGAGTAATTCATGCATGTATCTCACAATACAATCACATTTTCTCTGCCGGCGTCTGGTCTGTCCTTGCCCTCTTTGTTGACTCACTACTAACACAGTGAGGCCTCTCTCCTCCTGGAGGGCTTGACGTTGGTAAAAACACACACACACACACACGCACGCATGCACGCACGCACGCACGCACACACACACACACACACACACACACACACACACAACCTACCTCTCTTGTTAATTTGTGTTTGTGCACAGCGCAGGGCCTCCTGTGGTTTACAGTGGGGCCAGGAGTGGATATTTATAGTAGAATGTGTGCCTTTTTATTGGCTAATTATGCAGCTTATGAACAAGAAAATGAATTGATAACATAAAACGATTAATATCTTTGCTCATCTGTCACTAGACATGAGTGTTTGTAAAGGTCTGGTCTCACATGGCAGGATAGCAAAAGTTGCCAGGGTCAGTTATGAATGCAAAAGTAAAAAAAAAAAAAAAAAAAAACGAAGATCTAAATGTGCCTATAAGGAAATGCATTATTATATATTATTAAGATGTGTGTTTCTGCAGGTATTCTCTCCATTTCCTGGTGCAGAGCGGTCTGTCCTATGGTGTGATGATATTTGCCAGTTTGGAGCACATGCACAAGTAAGAGCACTTCTAAAAAACAAACAAACGAGTATTTTGTTTTTGTTAACAGCTTCCTATGCTTGTTCAGTTATCCGAAGCCCTTTTAAAATCACGAATGTTGCATGATTCTTATTCATCTCTAATCAGTTTGCCTGCCTGGGTTAACATGACACTGATTCTTTCCTCCTGACTTTCTTCTGTGTCCATGGCTCAATATGATGACCACGTTCATGTAACACACACACACACACACACACACACACACACACACACACACACACACACACACACACACACACACACACACACACACACACACACACACACACACACACACACACACACACACACACACACACACACACACACAGAGAAACACACACACACACACACACACACACACACACACAGACACACAGACACACACACACACACACACAGACACACAGACACACAGACACACACACACACAGACACACAGACACACAGACACACAGACACACACACACACACACACACACACACACACACAGACACACAGACACACAGACACACACACACACACACACACACACACACACACACACACACACACACACACACACACACACACACACACACACACACACACACACACACAAATAGATGCTAAGACCACATTGCTCACAACAGCAGCTGCTCTCAGAAAGACAACCAAAAAAAGATTTAGAAACCGATGACATTCTGGCCTCAGGCGAGGTTTCGCAAAAAAGATTTTCTGTAAAACTAACAAACTTCTTTGTTTTTGACCAATGAGAACAATAAAAACACATTTGCTTTTGAACGTAACGTCTGCCATGACCCTGGGATGAAGCTGCAGCTCAGAGCGAGAATAGAGAGAAATAGGGATGGGACACACTGACATGTCAAAGTTTGCTGAGGTTATGGTCTCATTTTTGCATAGCAAATGATCCTCAGCAGTGTTGGTTTAACTGCTGGCCTATGCATTTGTCCTTTGAATGTACATGTTGATCCTGCTAAAGTTTTTGCTCTTCGGACTGCCCTTGACATGACTGCACAGAAGGTCACCTCATTCTATATCACTATTAGATACGCCTTCTCATCTGCAGTGTGGGAATATGTCTAATATATGAAAAATTCCCACACAGGAGACTTCAACCGCTTCCTAGGTGGGAATGGATCAGTCCCTATGGTTGTCACAACATATCCAGGGCATAAGGCGAAGCGGATTAGAAAAGGGCTCCTTTAGCCCCTTTGACTTGTATTCATTTATTCATTCATTCATTCATTCATTCATTCATTCTTTCATTCATTCAAGGGAGGAGATTGGGCTCCCTATAGAGGAGGAAAGCTAGTTTTAACACATCATGAGATCAGATGCACTCGAACGTAGAAAATGTATTGTTGTTCGACGTAATGCTAACCACCAAACAACGCTACTCCTAGTTAAAGCTAACCCTAGCCCGAGCTACTGCTAAGGACCTTGTTGGACGAAAGGAAAATGACAAAGAATGTTGGCGCTCACATGTAACATCTAGAATTTGAATGATAAATAGCCTGTATTTGTATAGCGCCTATGTAGGGTTAAACAACCCCCCAAGGCGCCTCACAACACAATCAGTCATCCACCCATGCACACACACATTCGCACGCTGGGGATGATGAGCTACAATGTATCTACACTGATAGAGGAAAGGCCTGCCATACACTGGCACCATCAGTCCCTCCAATCACCGCCTTCAGGCTAGGCAGGTTAAATGTCTTGCCCAAGGGCACAACAGCAGAATTCTGTGTTGGAGCCGGGATCGAACCTGCAACCTTCCGATTACTGGACAACCCGCTCTACCTCCTGAGCTACTGCTGTCTATGTTGATGCAAGGCAACTTTATGTTTTCACAAAATGTTGTTTTGTGTGTGAACAACAGCACCAGAGATGGCGAGGAGAAGTCAGAGTTGTTGTAAATAACACGTTTAAAGCCTTAGATACTTTTTCCCCTCTCCGCATTTCTCTTCTGGTGTTAAGCCTTTTTTTATTACACATCAAGACCAAACTCTGTACAGTACAACACTCTCACATCTATCTCACTTTGGCATAACTTGACTATTTTTGTTCCCCACCTGAGGCGGCCAACCCCTGAGGTGAACATGTTCAGTGAGGACTTCCAGCCTTACAAAGCTGCAAAAAGCCCCGACTGGGAATTGAATATAGACTTTCTCAAGTCTGACTGGAAGCTCTCTGTTTAGTGGAAGGCATCATATTTCCCTCATCTGTTGCTTTCTCAGACGAGCTCACTTCTTGGATGTGGTGAGCAGAGTGGGAATGTTCTAGATGCTGTTCCCTCTCTTCAGATGTGAACACAGCACTGCCTACTGGTTGGTGACAAGGAGCAAAACAGAGGTCTGTAAAAGAGTCAGAAAAGGTGGGACCAGTGAATTATTAGACTGTGACAGAATTACAATCAGAGTCTCGGAGAAGGTACGGGAACTAGAGGATGAGCCAAAACAGAATAATGATGAGTTAGAGTGCCGTCATGCTTCATTTGAACATAATTTGCATTATGCCGAAAAATGGGATCCTCTAATGATTTTTGTGTGCTTTGTGCTTTGTCTCAATTTATTTTCATGCAGGAGATGTAAAACTTTTCTTATCATGGAGACATGTCCAGTTAAGAATCCAATTCCTGGGTTAATGTTACAGGGAAAGACTAGCTGTGAACACGTGTGCTAAATTTTGCATCACAGTCGTGTGTGAGAACAGATGGAAATTTCCACTGAATCTGTGCAAACATTTTGAGCCAACAGGCAGCATGCCTCAAGGCATCTCCAGCGTACACAGCCCTATATCTTGGCCTGAGATGTATTTGTTGAAGCTTTTTCCCCCATATTGCCATTGTACTGTATACCCTTACCTGCAGCTGTACCTGTCCACCAAACTCAATAATACGGTTGTGTCCAGCTGTTGTCCTAGGATGAAATTATTTCCTTTTAAATGAAAATGTTCATAGATGTTTTGTCTTTTATTTTTGGTAAATTGTAAATTAGTTTATTGACATATCAAAAAGCTAAAGTTTAGGTCAACATAGTTACTAACCTGCTTCCATTATAGATATTTTTAGTTATTAAGGCTTAGAGGTGTAAAGAATATTGATGCACAGAAATATCACAACTTTTTGTGTTATGATACTGAATCGATATTTAAAAGCCATCCATCCTTTTTCGGCCGCTTATCCGGAGTCAGGTTGTGGGGGCTGCAGCCTAAGCAGGGAGGCCCAGACTTCACTCTTTCCAGCCACTTGGACCAGCTCCTGCGGGGAAATCCTAAGACGTTCCCTGGCCAGCCGTGAGACATACAGGTGCTGGCCAGTAAATTAGAATATCATCAAAAGGTTGAAAATATTTCAGTAATTCCATTCAAAACGTGAAACTTGTACATTATATTCATGCAATGCACACAGACCAATGTATTTCCAATGTTTATTACGTTTAATTTTGATATTTATAGGTGACAACCAATGAAAACATCAAATCTGGTATCTCAGAAAATTAGAATATTCTAAAGGCCAATGAAAAAATGTTTGTTTCTCTAATGTTGGCCAACTGAAAAGAATGAACATGAAAAGAATGTGCATGTATAGCACTCAATACTTAGTCGGGGCTCCTTTTGCCTCAATAACTGCAGTAATGCGGCGTGGCATGGACTCGATCAGTCTGTGGCACTGCTCAGGTGTTATGAGAGCCCAGGTTGCTCTGATAGTCGTCTTCAGCTCCTCTGCATTGTTGGGTCTAGCGTATTGCATCCTCCGCTTCACAATACCCCATAGATTTTCTATGGGGTTAAGGTCAGGCGAGTTTGCGGGCCAATCAAGGACAGGGATACCATGGTCCTTGAACCAGGTGCTGGTGGTTTTGGCACTGTGTGCAGGTGCCAAGTCCTGTTGAAAGGTGAAGTCTGCATCCCCATAAAGTTGGTCAGCAGCAGGAAGCATGAAGTGCTCTAAAACTTCCTGGTAGACGGCTGCATTGACCCTGGACCTCAGGAAACAGAGTGGGCCAACACCGGCAGATGACATGGCACCCCACACCATCACTGACGGTGGAAACTTTACACTGGACCTCATGCAACGTGGATTCTCTGCTTCTCCGCTCTTCCTCCAGACTCTGGGTCCTTGATTTCCAAAGGAAATGCAGAACTTGCTTTCATCAGAAAACATAACTTTGGACCACTCAGCATCAGTCCAGTCCTTTTTGTCCTTGGCCCAGGCGAGACGCTTCTTGCGCTGTTTCTTGTTCAAGAGTGGCTTGACACACGGAATGCGACACCTGAATCCCATGTCTTTCATGAGTCTCCTCGTGGTGGTTCTTGAAGCGCTGACTCCAGCTGCAGTCCACTCTTTGTGGATCTCCCCCACATTTTTGAATGGGTTTGTCGTCACAATTCTCTGCAGGGTGCGGTTATCCCTAGAGCTTGTACACTTTTTTCTACCACATTTTTTCCGTCCCTTCGCCTGTCTGTTAATGTGCTTGGACACAGAGCTCTGCGAACAGCCAGCTTCTTTAGCAATCACCTTTTGTGTCTTGCCCTCCTTGTGCAAGGTGTCAATGATTGTCTTTTGGACAGCTGTTAAGTCAGAAGTCTTCCCCATGATTGTGGTGCCTTCAAAACAAGACTGAGGGACCTTTTAAAGGCCTTTGCAGGTGTTTTGAGTAAATCAGCTGATTAGAGTGGCAGCAGGTGTCTTCTATATTCAGCCTTTTCAGAATATTTTAATTTTTTGAGATACCAAATTTGGAGTTTTCATTAGTTGTCACTTATGAATATCAAATTTAAATGTAATGAACATTGGAAATACATTGGTCTGTGTGCATTGCATGAATATAATGTACAAGTTTCACGTTTTGAATGGAATTACTGAAATATCTTCAACCTTTTGATGATATTCTAATTTACTGGCCAGCACCTGTAGTCCCTCCAGTGTGTCCTGGTTCTTCCTTTAGTTCTTCTCCCGGCTGGGCTTGTTTGGAAAACCTCACCAGGGAGGTGTCCAGGAGGCATCCTAATTAGATGCCCAAGTCACCTCAACTGGCTCCTCTCGATGTGGAGGAGCAGCGGATCTACTCCGAGCCCCTCCCGGATGACTGAGCTTCTCACCCTATCTCTAAGGGAGAGCCCAGCCACCGTGCGGAGGAAACTCATTTTGGCTGCTTCCATCTGCAATCTCGTTCTCAAGAGCTTTGCCTTCCGCCTCAGCTCTCTCTTCACCACGACAGATCGGTACAACGCCCACACCACTGCAGATGCAGCACCAATTGGCCTGTCGATCTCCACTTTACTCAGAATTTACTGCTTTTCTTCCGTGTGGTGCAATTTAAACTGTGATTGCTAGGTGGCAGCCAGTTTTACCACTTTCATTCTGACGGAACAAGATCTGGCAATAGCACTGGATTTGTCTTGGAAACGTCCCGCCAGAGTTTTTAAATGAAATTTTGTCTTAAAAATGTTAAATGTCATCTGACTTTTCTTATAGCAAAATATTGTATTTGCTCCCCATATTGTTATCATATCATATGCCAATACACAACCCCCATTAGCGCCGCTTGATCATGAAGAAACAATCTTAATGGCTATTGTTTTTGATCAACATTGACAAATGACTACACAGTTACTCACTGAGGGTAGAATCTACGGAAGCACATTACTGTCAGAGCAAGAAAATAAAGGACCAGTATCTTGTTATAATGAGAATGTTTTTGTTATAACAAGATACTTGACTCATACGAAGAGTTTCCCATTATAACGAGATAGTGCTCCTTTATTTAGTTCCCTGCTCTGACAAGAATACACATCCACAGGAAACACTATCTAGAGCTTGTAAGGAGACCACAGCACCAATTCACATCAGCCGATGGCAGAGTTGAGATGGCACGTTTCTGAACTGCGCTGCTCTGGGTGGCTGCATGTTGGAGTATCTCTGTTGACTTTATGTAAGTTTAGCCTTTTTTGAACATTTTTTTCTTCTAGTTTCTCAAGAAAAATGGTATTTTTTTGGACATTTTACTTTTCTGTCTCTGGTGCTGTGAAGCTTAAAGTATTTTTACTGCTATTTTTTCACTTTTTGAGCATTTGTTATGATGCGTAACCATGGCAACAAGCTGGTTTACAATTGGGAGCAGCTAATTAACATTGGGAAGGCTGAAATAATACCTCAACTGAAGCCACAAATCCCAAATGAGCTAAAACGCAAGAAGCGTGGGTGCAGAGCGGGAGCAAAACGGAGGCAGAGAAAGAGGAAATTCAAACCATCTCTTCCATCGACCATAATGGGCAATGTGAGATCACTGGCCAACAAGATGGCTGAACTCCAAGCCCTTTCAAGGACTCGGCCAGATTATCGGCAGTGCAGTTTTATGTGTTTCACTGAGACGTGGCTGCAGGACCATATCTCAGAACGTGAACAAAACAAAGGAGATGATTTAGACTTCAGAAGAAACAGGGTGGAGTCAAACACCGTTACCATCATGGGACAAGAAGTGGAGGTGGTTGAGGAATACAAATACCTTGGAGTTCACCTGGACAACAGACTGGACTGGAGAAAGAACAGCGAAGACGTTTACAAGAAGGGACACAGCAGACTGCACTTCTTGAGAACGCTTAGGTCCTTCAGTGTCTGTAGCAAAATGCTGCAGATCTTCTACAAGTCTGTTGTTGAGAGTGTAATCTCTTCAGCCATCGTCTGTTGGGGTAACAGCATCAGAAGCAGGGACCTGAAAAGGCTCAACAGCCTAACAACAAAGGCTGGTTCTGTTCTGGGGACGACCGTGGAACCACTGGAGGAGATAATGCAAAGAAGGATTCTCCAGAGAATCAAGAAAATGATGGACAACCCTGAGCATTCTCTTCACAAGACTGTCCGACAACGGAAGAGTGTCTTCAGTCAGAGGCTTCTTCAGTTTCGCTGCAGCACTGACCGCTACTGGAGATCCTTCCTGCCAACAGCCATTGTAATATACAATAACTCTTTGATGACCTGATTATTATTATTATTCTGAGCTACTACAGCAATCAGTTTCCCTCTGGGAATAATAAAGTATTTTTAATTGAATTGAATTGAATTGAAGAGCTGCCACTGGAGCCCAGACATCCAAGCAAGGGGTGGGCTCGTAAAAATTCTTGTTTTTTGTTTTACAAGGATTGATGCTTGGAAATAAAACCATATGGAAAACATCAATGGATGTTGGGCTACGTGAGTCATACACCTCCAGTTTGTTATGCCTTTGTTCTGCCATCTGCTGACTTTTTAAAAACCTCAATAACTCTTGGCATTCTCTCGATGAGCTTCAAGAGGTAGTCCTTCAAGACTGGAAAACCATTTCAGGTGGCATACTCTTGAAGCTCATCAAGAGAAGGCCAAGAGTGTGCATAGCAGTAATCAGAGCAAAGGGTTGCACTTAAATAGCATATAAAACATGTTTTTAGTTATTTCACCTTTTTTGCTTAAGTACATAACTCCACATTTGTTCATTCATAGTTTTGATGCCTTCCGTAAGAATCTCCTAATGTAAATGGTCATGAAAATAAAGATAAGACTTTGAATGAGAAGGTGTGTCCAAACTTTTGGCCTGTATTGTACTCATGTGAGCTGCTGCCTTTGAGGTTGATCTGAAAATAGGACCACCACTGCCATGTCATCTCCCAAATGAGAAGGATGCTGAGAAACGTCCTGGAAGCTACTCTTGAAGAGATGCCAAGTGGGGGCTGGATACAATCAGAGAAACCTCAGAGCACATAAAAAGGACTAAATAACTGTTGTCTCCTATTTGCTGTGGACTTTTTGGGTTTTGTGGTTTTTTAGCTGCAAGTCTTAATGTGAAAGTTTGAGAATACGCCCATCTGGACAGATGTTTGGCAGCTGGAATCAGGTGATGTCTTGGATTTCTTCAGATACGGTCTTCTCTCAAAGACCAGATTGTGTCTTTTGTCCTTCGCAGTCTTGCTCTTGCTGGTGTCTCAGAGTGACACAAATATCTTATTGTTGGCGGTAGCTAGCTTTCGTCTTGGGCTGACTCTGCAGTGGCTTTGTACCATAAGCGCTGGCCTTTCCTGTGAAAGGTTGTGTTGTCCAGAGTCTTTTTCATGAACAAAGCCTCATTATTAAATCAGTTTTCTCCAGTTTTTGAACTCTTTATCATTAAAATGGCCATTTTTCTACTTTACAGATGCTGACTCGTGGTATTCTCTAATTCATAATATTCTTTCCCTTTCTGTTCAGGTACTGCTTCATCGTGACACTCGGTTACCTGATATGCTGTCAGATCACAAGAGTCTATGTTTTTGACTACGGCATGTACTCTGCAGATTTTACGGGGTAAGCCTCTCCAGCGCCACGGCTCATTTTTAAATGTGAAATTTTAATCCCAGATGATGCGTAAATCATGCTGAAGTTACACATTTGCAGTAGGAGTAGGGTGCACGTTGGAAACAGCTCAAACGCTCCGAGCTAAACAGAAACAAGAGCGTGTCATGGCTCAGCTGTGTTCACAGGGGGACGTTGACAGGGACTAGAGTTCCTTGTGGTTGGTTTTAGCTCCTCCAGACTGTCTGACAATTCAAGCAGACAGCCTGTGCTCCCAGCAGGGTGGGGGTGGCTAGTTGCTAAGCAACCTAAAGCAAACCCACACTGCCTCAGTGGCGGCATATATATAGTATATACACTCCTTTAGCGATGTTGGCTGACCATCTGTTTTTCTTGAAAATATCAAACGCACATGCTTTTATGATTTCAAAGGTGCTGCAGAAATTAAAATCTCTGCTTCGTAATTTGATGCTCCTGCCATCAATTTTTATGCATACAACCTCTCAAGTTGCAGAAAAGAAAAGGTCCGATCTCTAAAGGAGAATGAGTTCAGGAGATACGAGGAGGGCTCACCAACATTGATGCAGATTAGGGTTTACAGAAAAGAGAATAATAGTGAGATTAGCTCCAGAAAGTAAAAAAGCCTGTAATTATCTGGGAGGAAAGGATCCATTGTGTAGCAGCAGCTGACTGTTACTATTATTACTGAATAAATTGGTATCTAAGTCCATTAGTTAAATGATGTAATTAAAAAGAAAGCAAAGCTAAATTAATATGGGATGGTGATGAAATTGGGTAACTTGTTGAATAACTGGATACAGTTGATGATTAAACATGTAACTATAGATTGTAAACAAATGTGTATCTGTGATTTAAATGTTTTAATATTTAAACTATAGAAAGCATAATTGTAATGAAAGTGTTAGATATGTTATAAATTATAATAAAAACAATTTTAAAAGCGAAATAATCCGTCTGTTTCCATCATCAGACCCATGATGGTTATAACACAGAAGATCACCAGCATGGCATTTGAAATTCACGACGGTAAGAAAAGTGTGATGTTTATTTTTTCATTAACACAGTGTGCTTCTTTAAAATAACAATAAAAAAGAAATGCCGGAAGTGAAAACACCAGTTGAATTCTCTAAGGAGTTTTAAAAAAGCTCAGTTTTTGAGACGTTTCTGTTGAACTGGAGTAGTGGACCAGAAAGAGAGCATCAGCATGGTTATGTAAGGGATCAGGTGTGCTCTCTTTCTCTCTTTGTAACGGTTTCATGTCAGATGTTCAACAAAAATTAGCACTGTGTTAACTACTGATCGCAGCTTTGGTTGGAGGTGAGGCATGAACGGAGACGATCCTGTGAGACTGAAACGCTGCAGATCTTTAAGGCAGCGCAGCAAAAGTCCACGTCGTCCTTCACAGGCTGACCGGGATTTGAGGTTTTTAGGGCATCAGAAGTTGCTGCTGTTACTAAAACACCTTGACTGGTATAAAAATTAAAAATTGGAGTTCAGTATAGTAAAGACTAGGAGAAAGCGTGTGTGTATATAATATAATATGCATCTTTTACACATTATAAAAGAATAAAATCATATGTTGGCATATTTATTTATTTTCATTTGGCAGACGCTTTTATCCAAAGCGACTTACAATTTATAACCCATAGGGCATGTTGTGATATAGCATATTAGATATTGTTAGCCTAAAAGTCTTTTAGAAAGGTATAAAACACTTTTATGCATTGAAGTCAACAACTCTTTGAATAAAGCATCAAAATTTTACAATATACAATCTGTTTCATTGATGAAAAACAAAAAAAGACAGATTTATGGAAATGGTCGGAGCACGTGTGTCAGTCATCCTGATTGAAATGGGATTTAGAAACATAAAACATAGATACTTAACCTGATTTTGTGTTTTTAGATTAAACGTTAGTGTTCAAGACTTCAAAGATCACTTGAGCAGTGTTTGTTTTAATAAAGGACCTGTACGTCTCCAGAACTCGGGGGCGTGCAGGTCGGATAGCAGCTGACCCTTCTCACCCGGGTCACAGACTTTTTGAGCCGCTTCCCTCAGGCAGGAGGTTACGGTCAATCCAGACCAGAACCTCTCGCCATAAGAACAGCTTCTTTCCATCTGCCGTCAGACTTGTGAACAGCTTATAAACACACAACCATGCTCGTCTTCTGTGCTTGACATAACGTCACGTTATCGGCCATATTACCATTACCTGCCTTTTTTATAGCAAAGTTTTATGCTAGTTTATTATATTTTATTCTACTTTATTCTATTTTTAATTATATTATTCATGTTATATATAGCACGTTAGTACCGAAGCAAGTTCCTAGTTTGTGAATTGTTTGTTCACAGACAATGGCAATAAACCTAATCTGATTCTGATTCTGATAAGAAGTCTACTACATTCACACACGTTGCTGTGACAAAGTGGAAAAGTATTTTTTTAAATTCATAATGGAGTATAAGAACATGTTTATCTAGCTTTTTCTTACATAGTATGAGTTGCTCAGCCACAGGACCTTATTATAAAAGAGCAGGCTGAAGAATGGAACGATCCACGGTAGGTGCAACCTTCTCTGAGGTGAAGCACACTGCTTTTCTTGTTTACGTTGCAGGGCTATTCACACATCTTCACTTATCTCTGACCCTGGATGGGTTTGGCTACAATACCATGGCGACCTTGCATTCAAAAGCATTTAACCAGAACGATGCTTTTGAACGTGAGCATCAACACGTGTTTTCCCACTGATGTGTGTCTCTTTGTAGGTATGACCAAACGGGAAGTGCAGCTGACTTCCAGTCAAAAATACCTTGCTATCAGGTATGTGACTCAGGTATGTTTGGATTCTTTAGCCAACCAGTTCACTAGAATCAAGCTGAATGAGGGAGAAAAAAACTTTACAGGATTTTAGATGAGCATTCATGAGCTGCGCTCATGAAAAATGAGGTTATTTATTTCCACAATGGCCTCATTCTGCTTGTGAAATCATCACATTCCCTCTTGTTTGGTTGCTATCTGGTTGCTGCTAGCTTTCTGCATCCAGGAAACCACAAACTGAAGCTTTCAAGTGAATCATAACGTAGGAATGCCTGTAATCCTCCAAATGTTGAGCTTTTTTAAACACACTATTACAACCAACTCAGATGGGAGCAAAATGTAGGAGAGCTCTGAACAAGCAAAATGATAAAACAAATATCTAAGCATGGTGCACGTAAATCTGCGCGTATGTTGTAAATGAATGCTTTTGCAGCTTCCCGTATTCCAGTTAGAACTGACAAAACTCCTCGGATGAGAAGCGAAACGTCTTCAAGAAACTAAAGAAGTCCAGTTGCCTTCACGTAAACCCTTTTTGCAGCCTCCGGTATTTGATCTGGTGTCTGAAATAAATAAATTCACTTGGAATTTAGCGACCCTCAGAGTCATCCTTGTTTTATACAAGCGTTTGTTGGGTAAAGCCTGATTTATGCTTCTCCGTCTGCGTCAGTGCGGAGACACGCAACGCCATTATCCGTCCTTGCGTAGGGCTCCGGCAGGCACGCAAGTACATACGGAGTCGAGCCCACTTTTTAAACATCCGTCGAACGAAACGGATTACGCAAGCTTGTGATTGGTCAGGACGCCGCTGTTTACAGCGCCGCCATTGCAAAAAGAGCCGAGTTTAACTAGCGGCAGACACGGAGAAGCTTGAAGAATACCTCGCGAAAAAACTCTAAAAATATGAACGTTTCATCCTCCCGTGACTGGAGGAGTGAAAAGATGCGCATCAAGCGTTCTATCTGTGGACGGAAATGACAGGAAACGTGGGTTTAGAGGTGGGGAGCGCATGAAGCGGTGGGAGAATGAGAGACAAATATGTCCGTGTTAAAAGTCTCTTATATACACAAAAAACACAATATAAACACTCGATCTTGGACCGATACATGACAGGATACCACAGAACAGCGCTACGCCCTCTGTTGTCATGCCGGTCAATTGCTTTGCAACACTCTCCAGGAGACGGAGAAGTAAAAGAGCAAAACGCTTCCATCAATCCGTGCGTGTCTGTCCCTTGCGGAGCTGACGGAGAAGCATAAACCAGGCTTAACTGAGTCACCAACAGACACTGAAATAGCCACTGGGAAGGTGAACGAATTAAAAGTCAAAACGAGCTCGTGTTCAGGCTGTTCGATCTAGACTTAGACGGAAAAGCACAAAAGCAGAAAGGATCAGTCGAGGTCTTTGATTGTTTTTATCTGCATGTTTTGAGTGAAACAGTCGTAGCAAAAAGGAAGCTTTCATAAAAATGTTTTCTCACATAATTTTATTTCCTTTCATTATTTTTCCTCCTACCACCAAGCCGTATGCCTAGCCTGCTGGAGTATCTGAGCTACAACTGCAACTTCATGGGCATCCTGGCAGGGCCGACGTGTTCCTACAAGGAATACACGGCCTTCATCGAAGGGACGAGCTATCAGCAGCTGCAGCTGAAGAACGCCGACGGCAAGGATGTGAAGCTGATCAAGACCGAGCCTTCACCAAAGGTGCGACTTAGATATGTTTGTGTTGTGGTCTGTTTTGGTAAAAATTCACTCGGTCTCCTGCTTCCCATTGTAATCTAACTCCCTTTATTCACCCAGAATGCTGTCATCTCCAAGTTGTGCACATGTGCCATCTGTCTGGTCATCTATCTGTCACTGTACAAGCTGCTCCCCGTGGACTACTCCATAAATGACAGCTTTGTCAGTTCAGCGCCTTTTTATCTCCAGGTCACCTACCTTTACCTGGCAATGTTGGCTTTGAGGCCAAAGTACTACTTTGTGTGGACTCTTGGTGAGTTTGACTCATCATTGGGGACTTTTTGTAGATTAATACAGTTTTATTAAAAAAACAAAAAAACAACAACACTTAAAATTTGTTTGAGATTTTAGACTTTTTCATCTATAAGTTATTTAAGTTACTCTATTTCTCAGATACATTCCGTCGTACATAAATTTGACCTTAAATGTTATGTTTCCAGTTTGGTGAAGATTAGAGTTTTATGATGAGACAAATGTGAGCAGCAAAAACAACACATACTTTAGATTTGTGTGTTAATGTTCTGTTGTTTATCTGTTTTTAATGGAGTGATCTCACAGAAAATTTCATTATTAATCAACAAAATAAATCCTCTTATTTAATGCAGTTTCTTGATACCACACTGCCTTCTAGTGGTGATATTATGAACTATATTCCTTGTACTAAGACGTACAGTTCATTTCAGATCTCAATAAGAATGTTTAATCATTCTCAGAGCCACTTGTCTGTTTCCCCTGCAGCTGATGCCATCAACAATGCTGCGGGATTTGGTTTCAATGGCTACAACAAAGATGGCTCCCCACGGTGGGACCTGATTTCTAATCTCAGAATTCTGGACATAGAGGTTTGGATCCATTTATGAGCTTTTCCCCCACAATATATACGCAGATATGCTTTTTAAAGGAATGCTTTAATATTTTGTTGTGGATCTACTTTCAGTTTGCCACAAGTTTTAAGCTGTTTCTAGATAACTGGAATATTCAAACAGCTCACTGGCTCAAAAGGTAAAAGAAAATTCTGTGGTAGATAGTTTTTTTTTTTTATTTGGGGATTAAAAATTTAGAAAATTTATTTTAACTTGTTTCATGTGAGTCCTAAATGTCGATGTTCCTCTCAGGGTTTGTTACGAGCGATGTCCCGTCAACCCCACAGCAGCCACCTTCCTGCTGTCCGCCATGTGGCACGGGGTGTACCCAGGCTACTATTTAACCTTTGTTACTGGCATCGGCATGACCATGGCTGCTCGTGCGGTAAGTATTCTCATGGAATCACCTGAACAATATGCATTCTGAGAGTTTCCCAACCAAAAAATACAATCCTAAATCTAAAATTCTTGTTTTATATTGGGTAGTAAAACTGGTACTCTGCTTCAGTTTTCAAGGATTTTAACAGCCGTTTAGCTACTTTAAAACCAACAAAGGAATTGTGCTGTTGCTTAAACGTCTCATTCACTCGTTTTTTAAAGAGCAAGTTCACTGAGAAACTGTTTTTGACTTATTTTTGAGATATGATCGATCACTCTGAGTTTCACATGCAGGCTAAATGTGAAAATGGTCTTCTACTCCCATTTTTCCTGCATTAGCCACTTACAGAAATATAGACGAAGAAATGCTCAGAATAGAAAAGCGCTAGTTTCCATGTCACACTGAAAATTAGCGATCGTGGACTTACTCATTTTAATTTACGATATGCAAGGCAGTTGTTGATTTAGTGTCCAGGAGAGAGAGAGCAAAAAACATCTCGGCTTGTAGTGGCTCACCGTTAGCATTAGCAACTCCACCCATTCACACACACATTCACATGGTGGTGGGGATGAGCTAAGATGTAGCCACAGCTGCCCAGGGGCGCACTGACTGGCGAGGCCTGCCGAACACTGGTGAAACTGGTCCCCCCAACCATCACCAGCAGGCAAGGCGGGTTAAGTGTCTTGCCCAAGGACACAACAGCAGCATTATTTGGTCGGAGCCGGGATCTAACCTGCAACATTCTGATTACAGGACAACCAGTTCTACTTCCTGAGTAGGGCTGGGCGATATGGCCTCAAATCTATATTGCAACATAATCTGAAGCATGTGCGGTAACGATATATATTGCGATATATTTTTTCCTCTGTTTATATATGTCAAAATTACATGCTTTTAAATATCCTCATGTGGCAAATATATGCCACTTGAGGCATATAGGCCTCCTTCTCCGCCCACTCCATGCTTGCAGTCACTGCCATTCTGTTGTCCCAATGTCAGCAGGGTGCACGTCTTAGTGACGTCACGTGTTATTGCGATATCGCGGTATTGCGATAAAGCCAAAAACTCTTATCATTACCTAATTTTATTTTGTTTCTACCTTATATTGTTTATGTTGCCCATCCCTACTTCTGAGCTCCTCCTGTCTAACGTTGTGTAGTTGCTAATGCTTACAGTTAGCTTCCACACGCCGAGGCGCACTCTGCTCTCTCCTGGACACAAGATCAAGACTGCCTTCCGCGATCACAGGCCAAGGTGGACGAGACCATGAATGCTAACTTTCCCTGTGACATTGAAGAGACTGACCTTTTCTGACTTAATCGGTTTCCCGTCCATGTCCTTTCTGCAGCTAATGCAGGCAATCCGCATACAGATACAAGAGACCAATCGTATTTGAAAGAAAAAAAACTATTGAGCCCCCTTCAGACAGGCCATGAAAAACAGAAATGTTCCGGAATCTGTCCGTAAGACCTTTCTGTCTGAATACAAACATCCGGATAATGTGTTCCGGAATTTATCCGGACGAAGCCCCTAGTAACAGATCCGGACTTGTTATGGACAGGGTGGCTGCTTCAGACTGGGGAGGTAAAGTTCCGGACAAGGGGGAGGGGGAGGAGGAGGGGACCGGGGGACGCCGTGCGCACCTAGATAGCCCGCTCCTGTAGCATGCGGCGAACCACGGCAGCTCGCCTCCTACGGTACCGCCTAGACGCGCGACGGAGCGCTTCACACCGCTTCAGTGATTCCTTTAACCATTGAGCTTCATCATCCAGGTCTCTTATGCGTCTTCGTATGCGCAGAATTATGCTTAAGTGCCTCGTGATTTTTATCTTGAGAGGCGCTATAGAAATATTTTCTTCTTCTTCTTCTTAACATGAGTCCGATTCTTCCCCCCCCCCCCCCCCCCCCCCCGCCGCCGCCGTCAGACATCTGGAACTTTTCCCTGCTGTGTGAACGCAGCCGAAAGGACAAGTTCCGGTACAAAAGTGGTGTGTCTGAAAACACAGTTCCGGTTAAAAACCGGATTGAATTGTCCACAAATGTTCCAGAATGTCTGTCTGAAAAGGGCTTTGGATTGTTTTCTCGGTGATTGAGTCCATCAATGAAGAAATTAAGCACTTTAACTTATTATTATTATGACCCCGGCTCTTTAGGAGAGATGAGGATGGGGAAGTAACAAAATTGGTGTGCGGGTGAAATAATAACAAGGTGAGCGTCGCATAAAAACAAGATTTTATTACAAACGTGGTGATGGAGGACAAAGGAACAGCTTCCGGAAAACGAGTGGCAGAACACATAATGGTTAGCAAATATTTACGGCCTGACTTAGATGGAGGAAGAGGCCCTACACAGTCTATGACGATGTGGTCAAAGGGGGTCGAAACCACAGGGGTTGGATGTAATGGAACTGGTCGAATCGTTTGATTTGGGTTTCCCACAATCTGACAAGTAGCACAGCTATGACAAAACTCAGAAACGTGTCGTTTGAGACCCGGCCAGAAGAAGTGGCGCAAGATGGCCAGATAAGTCTTACTTACACCCAAATGACCAGCCCACTCACACTCATGAGCCAACGAGAGAACATAATTCCGCAAAGTTTCAGGGACCACAACCTGTTTAACTTGGGCCCAATCGGAACCTTTTGCCGAGGCCGGAGTCCAGAGGCCAAACAAAATGTCACCCTCAATCACATTCAAAGTCTGACCCACGGGGGATGTCGGAGCCACACCAACCAGCGCAAAATAGGGTTTCAGGGATTCATCGGATTTTTGTGCTTCCGCTAAGGTCCTACAAGAGATGGGCAAGTCTGTTAGGGGATCTTGCACGTATTCTGGCCCCATGCCAACACAGAGTGATTTATAAACTAGTAGAAGTACTTTGAAATCAATTCTGTAGTTTACTGGTAACCAGTGTAGAAATTTAAGAACAGAAGTGATGTGCTCGGTTCTCTTGGTTCTTGTTGACTAGCAGCAGCATTCTGAATAAGCTACAGTTGCGTCTCAGCTGTTTTGGAAAGAGCTAAACTGGGTCTTTTTTCCTCTGGAGCCAAGTTGAGCAGTAACTTCCATCCTATCCTTCCTTTTTCCAAAGACAATAACAAGACCATAAGTCTTGTCTTTGTGTAACTGGAGGACGTTTGACTGCATCAAGTCATTAACTTGCTACAAACAATGACAGAGTGAGTCTTGGGGACTACAGTCACTAGGTGATAAAGCTAGGTAGACCTGGGTGTCATCTGCAGTGTATACGACCTGACCCAGGGGGAGCATGTAGAGATTGAAGAGCTGTGGTCTAAGAATTGAGCCTTGGGGGACCTCACATGTCATGGCGAATTTAGATGAGGTGGTCATTTTCATTCTTTTTCTCTAAGCCAGATTTCTACACTTTAGTTAATGTAAAAACAACAATAAATGGCTATATCAGGTCAAATGAAAACAATTACTATAACTCGTTGATAATGTACTTTAAAAGGATGTTTGATTCAAATATCAGAACAGCAAATTTCTTCCTACAGGATTTCATTTACTTTTTTCAAGAGGATTTAGAAAATTCTGACCTGGTTTCTGCATAAATATATTTAACAGTAGCTGCCATACGAGAGGGTTTGTTAGATGGGAAATGGCCAAAGAGAAAACACAGATGATAATAAGCAGGCAGTGATGTCTCTTCTTATAGAGTTCAATCGTTTATTTCTGTTCATTGCAAAATAATTGGATCTAATTTAAACTTTTTTCTTTTTCTTTTAAGGTAAGGCACAACATCAGGCCATACTTTCTGGCCTCCGACTTATCCAAGTTCATCTATGATGTCCTGACGTGGGTGTGCACGCAGGTTGCCATTTGTTACACTGTAGTACCGTTTGTCTTACTCGCTGTAGGACCCTCGCTCAAATTCTACAGGTACGTACTAATTCACCACTTAATTCTGATCAGCAGATACTCGTCTGTGGTGCTGCTGTGTAGAATCATTGTAGCACAAATGATACACATGGAATCACTACTCATTGTGTGAAGAGTTAACACTTTTAAAGGCCAGTGCTTTGCTTTTAGGCTGTAATGGTTAACAAGACAGTTTAATGAGGTAAGGCTATGGAGAATTGATGGGGAGGGAATTGAAACAGCGGCCCTAACATTGCCCAGTCGTTGCCATAAAATAAAGTGCTGTTTTAGCAAGTGGCTGCCAGACAGATGGTATAAAACAGGCGAAGCCACAAGCCAAAGACTCTTAAAGGTTTAACTTTTGACCTGATAACACAAAAAGTTAAATGAGAACGTATTAGGTCTATTAGGTTTCAGTTTACTATAAAAAAGTCAAAACATTGGAAATTTAGAAGGGAAAACAATTTTTTAAGTACAAAATTACAGTAACAACTATAATATGAATAAAAATAAACAACATAACGTGAGAATAATAATTGTGAAACCATGCATTTTAACTCTCTCACTCGACTAGAAGTGTACGTTCACGAACAAGATGTGTTGGTTTCAGCCATGACCACTGAAGCAAGGAGAGGGGCTTAAAGTAACACTAAAGAGTTTCCCGCCATCTCCCTCCTACTGGTTTAAAGCGGGATTACAGCTACCGTAAACAACCCTGCTGTAGCTAACAATGAAGTTAAAAAAAAACTCCACACTGGTGAAAAACAAGTATTACTTACAAGTCCAGTATCAACAAAGCCAGGTCACCATCAGTTCGTAATTTCATAGCCTCCTTTAGCTCCCTTAAACGAGTGTAGACAACATAGATATTCACTCTGGTTTTAGCTCTTTGCTTCACCTCAAAGGACATTGCTTTCTTACTTTTCTTTCCGGGATGCCATCAAAACAAGCTAAATCATTTTTCCTCTTTTTGTGATTTCTGTGAAAGATCAGCAAACTGAAAAAGCTAACTGCAAGCCTTTATATTAGCCACCAGTAGCATAAATGGCTAACAGCCTTAAAGCAGGTAGAGAGCTCCACCTAGTGAACCTAAATGTAAAATAATCAGTTTTGTGTCTCTCACACTCCATCCATCCATGTTTGGGTAGCGGGGGCAGTAGTCTAAGCAGGGAGCCCCAGACTTCCTTCTCCCAAGTCACTTGGATCAGCTCCTCCGGGGGGGAATCCTAAGACATTCCCTGACTAGACGTAGTCTGTCCAGCATGTCCTCGGCCCTTCTTTAGGCCTTCTCCCAGTTTGTCGTGCCCGGAAAACCTCACCAGGCAGACGTCCAGGAGGCATCCTTACCAGATGCCCGAGCCGCCTCAACTGGCTCCTCTCGATGAGGAGGAGCAGCGGGTCTACCCCGAGCCCCTCCCTAATGACCGAGCGTCTCACCCTTTCTCTAGGGGAGAGCCCAGACACCCTTCGGAGAAAACTTGTTTCGGACGCTTGTACCCACTATCTCATTCTTTCTCTTGCACCTCTTAATACATAATATAAGACCTATAGACATAGAGCCATACTTTTTATTTCTCGATCCAAACTAAACTTTTGATGCCTTTTTCAGCTCCTGGTATTTTTCCCTCCACCTTTTGTGTCTGCTCATCACACTGGTCCTGCCTGTCAAATCAAAACGCCGGCAGACCCAGGAGCAGCAGAACGACCCTCAGAAGGACGTCACACATGGCAACCAGATGGATCACAACAGCACAGACAACAACTGCAACCAGAAAGACAAGGCCACATGAGGCCTGGGAATGCTGATAACTGGAGTGTGTCGGGTCTGTTTACCTGACTAAAAAAACCCAACTCTAAACAGAAAATAAAAATCCTGTCGAGGCTTTTCGAAGCAAGGATGACCGCAGTCACACATGGATGAGAAATGGCGAAGAAACAATAGCCACGGTTTAAACTAACGTTACTGTAATGATTAAAGTAAATAAATACATAAAAGGACTTCCAAGCTGCCTTAAACCTTCGATGTACTCTGGCTGGCTGCAGGAACACTAAAAGCAGTAATTATCCGGTGTGGTATTGTGATTTTTGGACCTTCGGAATGTGGAGGGTTTTTGTTGTCTGGATACAAGCATCTGTTAGGTGGGAGGAGAGAAACTGAACGGATAAAGAAACCGAAGCTTCGTCAGCTGCCAATTTTAAACAGGCCTTAGGATCTTCGCTTTTTTTCTTTTTCCAATTTCTGTCCTTTTAAACTATTTTAAAAGAATTTCACATTTAATTGGATCATTATTTGAATATTTTAACACTATTTGGATGCATTCTTGATGCTTGGTTTAGTTTCTGACTGACAGAATTAAGAAATGAAATTTAAATATTATTCATCTCCTTTGTGTGAATCTTTTTCATTTTTGCTGCATTTTGATCATTTGTATTAACTTCAGCTAAACAATTGTTTCAAAGGGAGTTGATTAACTCTTTGGGTATTTTTTTAAAGGTTTGAAAAACGAAGCGATATCTTATATTTCTTCACATTTGTCACAGGACGGCTTTTCTCTGTAGACAAATGAATTATTTTATGAAATGAAGATAAAAGAAGTTCTAAATAAAATATAGAATACCAGTGTTATTTAAAGCCATGTGGAATCATGTCATTTTAGTCAAAATAACACATATCCAGGCAACAAATGGTTTTAATGTGAAATTAGCATTTGTTTGTGGGGAAATCTGATGTTTGTGTTGCTGTGTGTGACATAATGTACAAATTCAAAGATCTAGACCAGCTTTAGTGGTTAAACTGACCTAATTTTATATTATGTGCTCTTAATATTTTATTAGGGGACATTTCAGGGTGCATTTACTGTATGTTGTGAGAGACACCGGTTCCTTCTTTTTTTTTTTTTATGTAAGCCTTTCAGATCATCAATTTTTATTTTTACAACCTAAAGGCATTCAAACAGGTCCTTCTGTTGGATTTTATTTTTTTTATATAAATGTAAAACGGAATTGGTTTGGAAATTGTGAAGCAGAGCAGGTTTAGCTTCTTACTGTTGCTTAAATACTAAAACGATATGTTTCTGTATCTGTTAGAGCTGATATTTCTGGAGGTTTTTGGTTCTTATTTCTATAAAAATAGTGAATTAATAAGATTTTTTTATTTTATTGAGGAAAAAAATCAAGTCAGCAGAAATGAGCTCTTACATATGGACCTCTTGGACTTTCTAACATTCACATATTCCTGCCATCGCTTGTGTGTCTGTGTTTGTGTGTGTCTGTGCGTGCACCGTTACCTCTGATGGTAATTGTGATTCGAGGAGAATCATATTTGTAGCCCAGGCCGTGTGGGCCGATTTAAGATGAGGATGTCTAACAAACTACAAAAATGGCAACCATTGCACTGCATGGCAACCCAAACCAGCAGATAAATGCAAACTGCTCCATAATGTCCAAAGTGCCAAATTACAAATGGCGCATTATTTGTGTGCGGAATGTGTTTGTGTGCGTGTGTATTTTTGTGTTGGAAGGAAGATTATTGAAAGGATATTTGTATTACAGTACATTAAAATGATTTATGTGGCAAAATAAAGAGAACTTATTTTTAAACACTAATCATGTTTTTGATAATTATCAAAACATTTGATCTATTAAAGAGTAATTAGAATTTATATTTGCATAAGAGACATTTCAAAATATTTTAATATTATTTTTAGGCTTTTTTGTCTAATAGTTCTTTGAGTGACAACCTGTGTGTGTGAAATGTGTTTTTATTTGTGATGTACTAAGTTTCATGTTTATGTGAGGACACAAGACTGGTTCATCCCTTGAGTTATGTGCCCTTTAAAGCCTGAAGTGGCTTTAAAACATAAACATTCCTCAGAAAATGATCTTGAAATTAGTTGTCAAAACTTCAAAACAAAGACCTCCTAAAAGCTTGAAGAGCTATTGATCAAGAACACTTTGAAAAAAGAAAGCAACAAGTCATTTTGCAGGCTACTAAATCACTTCTGTCAGTTAAATTTGGACTTATTTGAAACGTGAAAGTAGCATTTTATGGAAATATTCCATCGTTAAACCCAGTCTGCCTCCAGTAATCCTGTCAGATGTGGAGATGGGGGAGGGGTTATATTTTTTGCCCCCGGCCTTCTTGCCACATGTTCCGCCGCTGTAACCGGAGAAAGTCGGGGGCGGGGCTTAAGTGACATTTGGGGAGGCAGGCAGGTTACAGTTGTCCAAAACATTATGTCTTGAAAGCAAAAAGGGAACACTTTCGCTGGAGTTTACTTGCACGAAGCGTTTGTCAGGCGTGTAAAAGTCACTCTTGAGCAGGTAAGAGAGCTCAAAGGCCGTCATCACACTTTGTTGTTTCAGGTGATAAAACCTGTTGAAGAAGCTAGTGGCTTCATGCTAACGTTAGCTTTTGGTCGTTAGGAGCTGGGCTGCTTGTTTTGTTTTCGTTTCCTCCTCAGGGGGAAGTCACCAATAACATCTTAGCTAAAATGTGAAACATGTTTTTTTTCTGTTGCTGGTAAACTTTGAAGCCATTTTTAATGTTTTTGTTTACTTTTTAGACTCGAGTGCAGCCAACATTTACGGTTCAGTTGCAAAATCAACAAGAAATGCAACTAATGTTTGTTTATATCATGCTGATGTGAGGTCCTGGCTCTTCTGAGAACTTAAAATAATTTCCAAGTGGGCCTGTTATATGCCTGTCTAAGTCCAGCCAAGGAACAAAGTTTTCCCAATGTGAAGTTCATCACTGTATTCTTTTTTATTTTTTTTAAACCAAAACGTGTGCCAAAATGATAAACAAAGGCTAAAATGACAGTATAAAGGCTCAAATTCTCGTTTTGGACACAAACTGAGAAATGCCAGTTTGTTTTAAGGCCTTGAAAGTTTCCCAGACAACCCAGTTAACCTGTCTTTTGCACCAGGGATCTGAATCTTCAGCAGTTTCATGCCCACATGATGTGGCATAAAGAGCTGACAAGTTAAATTTAGAGATCCTGTCCTGTGTCGCCTGCTCACTTCTCCATTTACATTTAGATAACAAGCTCAGCTGACGGACTTAGTTTGCATTTGTTAGTGTTTTTTGTTTGCTCTAGATACAAATGGATGTCTGAATCAGACTGCTAGTGCAGTCAACTTCTTATGTAGGTCATTTTTTCTGAGTTAAAGGTCAGAAGAAAATGAGAGAAATGACATTAGTTGCGTAATCCCTGTTCACATTGCAGAATTTAAAATTGTCTTATCATGACCCCACACATGGCTAAATAATAATGATATACCTGTTTTTGGCTTACAGCGTGTAGTGTGCAGATACGGCAAAAACTAACCGTTTTTACACAAAAAGACCCCACCCGGTCAGGAAGAAAACTCACAATATCAAACGGGACTTCCTAGTGAACAAACACGGAGTGCAGCGTGCCTCAGTCATCTCGCTTTCTGATTGGCTACATGTCACATGCAACTGGCAGCATACTTACTTATAGGGATGCACCATGATGGGCCGATCACCATATCCAATATTGATATGGTTGCTGTGGCCAATACCCAATATGTACTGATATTATAATTTTATATGCGTGTGTGTACACACACACACACACACACACACACACACACACACACACACACACACACACACACGGTGACACTTATGAGAGGTTTACTATCACTGTCACATGACCAAAGACTTACCATGTGACCACCCCCTTTCCCGTCCCAAAACAAAAATGATGACGAGATGGAAATAAATATAAATTTTAGTTAATATTAGCCCAGTTTTTGCTATCAGACTGATATGTTACAAATTGTCTAACATTGGCTGATATGGCGGTGTTAATGCCGATGTATCGTGCATCCCTTCTTGTTTGTCCTCGAAAATTGGACCAAGTCAAGTCAACATGTTTGTAAACCCCAGTTTATAATTTGGCGCAGCTCTGACGTGCATCCTAGCAAACCAGATCGATCTTAATGCACCAGACACAAAAGGAATATCAGATTTGATACATTACAGTAGGGCTGCACGATATTAAGAAAACCTATATTCGGTAACAATGATTACTATTGCTATGACGATATTACAATATTACTTGTGATAAATAAAAACTTGACTCAGGAACAAAAATAATCAAAAACAAAGAAATAAAAAAATCATAAAAATGAGAAAAGCAAAAGATGTGAGGAAAGGGAAAAGGAAAATAATCAAGAAAAGGCAATCAGTGGATCCCGGGAAAAGCAGAATCAGCAGAAAGAGCAGAACAAAGCTAACTCAGGTGTTTGCTAACCATCAAAATGAAGTGCCGTCTGCCTCGGGGGTGGGCATTTAACCTATGAGAACCCACCCAATTGGCCAAATGGGTGAAAAACTCTATTTGATTTGTTGAAAAAACATCATGCTTCCGTTTGATTGACAGAATGCATTATGTGTGTACGCTATCGCGATGACGATATATTTACGATATATTGTGCAGCCCTACATTACAATAACAAGGTGTGTCTTTAAAATCGCAATAATAACATATATAATTATTAGCACAACACTTGCTTAATTCCCTCAAATTCTTGTAAATGTGACATATTTTGACAAACTTATCTTACTTAAAGTGACAATTCATCAATTAAAATGACGTATATTGCATTAAATTACAAAAACAAACCAAACTTGGTGCATCTGAGTGATATTCATTGTTCTTTTATCTGGACCAACCATTGCATGCAATGGATGGGAATCTGGTGGAGTGTTTCTATTGTGTAAGAGATGGGTGTGGACTAGCCCCCTCATCTAATATTCAGCTCTTTCTTAAAGGGGGGATGCTGAGCGTGAGCCAGCAGTGCTTTTTGATAGCCTGCACGATTGAGCTGGAAAACTGTAGTTGTGTTGAATTGGTGAGCTTAAAGTAACTTTACTCCACTAAGGTATGTTATTTTAATCTTTCTTTGCATTTTTATAGACTGAATTAAACAAATTCATGTGCTTCTGGTTAACAGCTGGTCTTAAAAGGTTTTTGTTTCTCCTCTGCTTTAGATTATAGAGAACATGTTTTGTTAGAGTTGAAGGCTATTTGACTGCTGCTAAATGGACAAATGGGTTCAAAGTGAACTGATTGGCTCTTTTGTGGAGTAAACATCCACCCATTGTCCTGAGAGACAAGGAGGTGAAGAGGGTGTGTCAACAGGCTCCTATTGCTGTCAGTACACAAAGGATTTATTAAAACAAAAAGATATGTGCATGTGTGGTTTGGAAGATCAGTTTTACAGGTGATCCTTATGTGGAGATGAAGGTTTACGTCTCAGAAAACTAAATAAAAGGAAATTACTTGTACTTTAGATAAGAAATGATTAGGTTACTGGACTGTTGGGCCTTTGTACCGACAGCCAAATAGGACATGTGATGTTTAAGTGTGCATCGACCTGAGAAGCAGCTTCTCGCAAGGATTATGAAGAAATATTGAGCAGCACGTTGGGTAGTTATTATGTGAAGCCTACTGCCAAGGCAACTTAGGAGTGAATAGAGCTCATTAATTCTCTGGCAGGAAGTAACTGACCACGATGGAAGAGCCCAAGTTTATGAATCATTAATGAGCCTTTTATCTAAATCCCTAATACAGAAAAAAAGCAAACAGGTTTAGGTTTGGCTCTCTTATCTGGTCTTGTAATGCATTAACTGAGGTGGGCATCGATTAAGGGGGAAATCCCCATTCCAAATGTTGTAAAGGTAATCTTGATCTGCTAATTAGACTAAAACAAGCTTTGAAGGACTCGTTTAATTGAGGAGGATGTCCATCTGTGTCTGCGGTTTCAATCATTAACTTTCAGTAAGCAGTTTGGAAACTTTCATTCTTTTGCACACTGCTCAGCTCTTTTCCTGTGAACACAAATTGTCATTTTTGGCAGCAGAGACCCGAATGGAGAGTCGCCTTGATGTAATTGAAGCACACACATTCCAGTGCACCTATTGTTAGTCACTGCTGCATCAGAGTTTAGTGCCTTTTGTTTGACTTTATTGATATTTAACTACTTCAAACAGAGGTTGTTGTGGTTTCATTGTAATGAGTAGACAAATGTATGTTTTCAGCATGAGAAAGCAGACTGAAAAAAGTGCCCATTAGTCCTGTATAATGAGATTCCAGTGCAGGGATTATGCTTTAAGAACTTATTAGGTAATATGCTGTTTCCTGTAGAAATACACAGAAAAATTTGTTATAAAGGTTACATACATTTTATTCTGTTTCAGTGATATTAAGCTAATAATGGTTAAAATGGAATTACATCTCCGCATTTGACCCATCCCTGTGGGGAGCAGTGAGCCGCAGCACTGGCTGTGCTCGGAAACTATTTGGTGGTTTAAGATTTCACTCAACAAATCATCAGAGATCAAGTTAGTTACAGTTTGCATCATGGCATCATTTTACCATTCAGCACTGGGCTATGACGTGCCAAATTTTGATGTGTCTTAACCCACCGATCAAACCCCCAAAGCTGAGTTTCAAGCAGGGAGGCATTGGGTCCCGTTTTTAGTCTTTGGTATGACCCGACCAAATTAGAACCCCAGTCTTCCAGCCCCAGGGCGGAAACTCTACCACTAGGCCACTCAGAAGGTAGGAGGGAAGTATGAGCTTCCTCATTAGTGTAAAACAAAAAAACTGAACATCTGTGTGGCAGACTAAGGTGGTGCTGGACTTGAGGTGTGTTTCCATTGTCGGAAAATTCAGGGTAAATTCTGGGAGAAGGGAACTGTTCGGGAGATGAGATGACCCGGTCCTCTCAGCTGTTGTGTCTCCATACAGTACAGCATAATTTAGTCCATTCAGAGGACGAGAGCAGCTGCGTAATGTAAAATGTGGCGTCAGTTTTTACGGCTCTCTGTAAGCCACGTGAATTACGTTGTGGGGAGAATTCCACCGTGCTTTCGGGGTTGGGAGTCATGTTATCCAGTCAGTGTGTGTGTTTACTAGTTTTGGATTGTGTTCATTTTTGATAAACTATAGTTTGTGAAGGCTGTACCAACTCCAGCGCATCTGGACATCGAGTGTAAGGGTTTCCAGATAAGAGAAACAACGCCTCTATCTCCGTGCCTGAGGGCGTTTTGTGCAGCTGAAAAGACGGGACTTCTGTGGCTCACAGCGGTCGGTACCGGGACAGGGAGGTCCGTGCTGGGCTTCGGAGACCCGTGGCGGGGTTTAAAAAATTAAATGCAGATTTCTGGAACTTGGATCACCATCAGAACCAGGTCAGGACCGACCACCAGAAGAGCTGGAACCAGGGTCGGAACCAGATCAGAACTGCCGCGGACCTCCAGGAAAGGATCATGTGCAGCTTGTAAAAATACCAGCTCGACTGGTTCGCTGGTGTCTGGGTCGGATCCAGCTCACAGAAGCCCGCATGAGCTCCAGAACCGGATCACAGGCGTCTCTCTCCGTCTCTAAGTGATAAACTACGTTACGTGAACGGATATTAACGAGTATGAGACAGCAGACAGACACTCATTAGTATTAATATTATATTAACTGACCAATACTATTTTAATTTTCTGGTACATGATTGTAATCTGTACAATACTGTGATGTTAGCACACGAGTTTAAGCTAGCATCGTTAACTCACCTGCTGCTCCACCGCTGTTCTCAGTTTGTCTGCTTTAGCCGACAGTTTCTCCCTCTGGTTTGTCTCTGCTCTCCGGTACTTGCAGGAAACTCATAACTTTATGGTTCTGGTCCATCATAAGTAGAACTATAAACATTTGAAGCTTCCTCTGTGTCAGAGCCGACATTAGAGTTCATATTTTTCACTGGATTAAGCTAACAGGACTCCCTCAGCTGACGTCACTTGGTTTGGCAAAAAACATTTTTCTCACAAAAATGACTCTTAGCTTCAAAAAAGCTTGACCTCAAAAACTGCAATCATCACATATTTAGATTAGCAGAAAATGAGTTAAGCCTGACAGATTTAGCTGTCGGGGGGTGGGGGTGGGTTGCGCGCTCTGTCCTGCAGTGCTCCTCCATGAGAGCGGGGATGGGGGTGGGGGAGTTGCACATGCTCCACTGCTGTTTCTCACCAGTATCAGCTGATGGAGGGCTCTAGTTTTGTTGCGTAGTTCGTGTCAGCGGACACGGTAGGGTCGGGGAGGGGGGCGGGGCATGGTGCTTAGCCTGGCGGGCTACTAGGTTTACAAAGCACTGGGGGAAACCCTGGATTAGGGATGTCCTGATACAACTTTTTCACTTCCGATACCGATATTGCAGTCTCCAGTACTGACTGATACCGATATCAATCTGATACGATATCAGCACAAATCATACATTTACCTATTTCGAAATGTGGAATGTATGAAAGGTTTGATCAAGAGAAATTACTCAATCTGAGAGAAAAGAAAAAGCTAATAACAGTAAGTATGAAAAAAAGACAATTTTTTCTTAACCATTGCTTGCAAAAATGCTTATATTGGAGATTTTTGATGCCGTCAGATATAATCTGATATAGGGATGAGCGAGTACACCACTATCTGTATCTGTTCCACCAACTAAATTATCTGTATCTGTACTCGGAATGGGTGTGGCATACCCCGGAAGTGGGCGTGTTTAACCGGAAGTGGGTGTGGTTTGCATCAATATATTATTTTAAGTCTGAAATTGATATGGAATGATCAGAAGTTGATTTGTGTATTGTTTATTTGAAAACTATTTACAGAACAGCCTCAGAATTGAGATTAAATATTTTTGATCACAATAGTAAAGAAACTATTACAGAACAAGTGTTTCAATAAAATCAGAACATTAATATTTAAGTGCATGGATCAATACATCTGAACTCATGCAGTAGGAACTGGGAAATATGAAATGCTAGAACCAGACACAACTTTCTATTTTTTATTTTAATTTGATTAAACTGATTTTTTTCTTAGCGTTCTTGGCATTTTGCCCCACACAAAGTTAAACAAAACAATGTTGATTAAGGTGTGTGTGTCTGAGAGAGATGGAGAGGGTGAGAGGGAGAGAGATGGAGTTAAAAAAAATGAAAAACCCGACCGGAGCGAAGGTAGTGAGTGACTGATGCAGCATGTCAGCTCTGTCTTGTCAAATGCACCATGTAAGTTACGACAAAAGTAACTTTAAATATTCAACCGAAAAAGAGGCGAGCTGAAGAAAACCTAGGGAAAACTGAAGAAACGTGAGCAACAGTGAAACAATCACAGCGAGATCCGTTACTGTCTCTGTGTGTGCGTGGATGAGCCGGACGGCCTGCGCTCCCGGCCGGCTAGAGAGTTTTGTGTGTAGGGAGGGGCGGGCGCTCTATGTGACTGGCCAATCACAGAGCGTGAAGACAGTCTGTTACCCAATGAGGATTTTCCTTCAGCACGATTACAGATATTTACGAGGTTTACTCATTTCATGCTCGTATTCGTCAAAAATGCTTTATCCTTACCGGATACTCGTCTGAAACGAGTATCCGGCTGATACACTGTTTTTGGGCCGATATCGATATGGAATTACTTCCGATATTGGAACGGGACATCGCTAATTTAGATGATAGCTCTGTTTTGACTATACCTTTAGAAAATGTTTAGTGTTTGAATAGGTAAGATTTTGCTTGTGAGTTTATTTAGAAAATGCTGATTTTAATCCACGTTAATAATACAAGCACACCACGCCCGCTAACAGCGCCGTTTCTCTTTAACTTGCTGTGAGTTCCTGTTTGTTGTCCTCCTGCTTCACAGCGGTACAGGTGGTCAGCAGGCTGTCATGGATACCACCACTTCCCTGAAGATGACCTCTGTGACCGTCCAGACTCTGTTTGGCTATGTAGAGAAGGAGGACCTGGCTTCTATCAAGGCCCATTTGGACGAGTTCCGAGATGTGGACTGCAGGAGCGATGTAAGTCAGCCCCCTGTTGGTTTAGGACAGTCATGGAGGATTGTGCAGTAATAAAAGGCTTTTGGAGATGGGGCAACAAGAGTTCAGTGGGAAAAGAGATTTGGGCTTCAGAGGTACACTACTTTAGTTAATTTGTACTATGAATTTAACTGTTGAGGATTTAGGTTTTATGACAAAATAGGAACATAAAATTAAAAGTCTTTTTCTGTTTTCAGAATGGACAGACTCCCCTGATGGTGGCGGCAGAGGTGGGCAGTCTGGAGATAGTGCAAGAATTAATCAGGAGAGGAGCTTGTGTTGACATGGATGACGTCGTAAGTTTGCAGATTTTCTATACTGATCACACATGTGAGGGCGTTCAGCATCAAAGCGCTAATGGAAGAAAACAGCGCTGTCATAGTGACCACATCATCTACCTAACAAAGACGACGTAACTAGTGGCCAGGATGTTCCATCTTGCTGAACTCGCCACACGCGGCCTCAGTCCTGGGTTATTATGAGCCATAATGACACCTCATTACACACGTTTACCTTCACTCTGCTCACTAAATGACAGGATCTGCTCACTAGCTGACACGCTGTGTCTTCGGAAGCCAGCCCCTACACACACGCACACACTCACGCACTTGTATGCACCCTCCCACATCAGCACACACACACACCTCTTATTAGCATCCTGCAAACGTAACCTGCTATTACACACGGCACACTCAAACCTGGGCTCTCGCAAAAGAATAGAAGAGAAGCTTTAGATTCCTTAGTCACTCTTGTCTTTTGTACCAGCGGACTTTCTTGTCTATCAATGCGACAACAAGTCCCAAAGAGCACCTGGTATGACCAGCTGGTAGGTATGGTGGTGTGCCCGGGTGCTGCTCTGACTGATGACTTGGGTTTGGTGTCCGATGGGGAGTAACAGGTTGAGTCTTTGTGCAGGACTGCTGGACTGCTCTGATCTCAGCAGCGAAGGAGGGACACATCGAGGTTGTGACGGAATTGCTGGAAAACAATGCTAACTTGGAACACAGAGATATGGTGAGTGTAATCTAATACTAATGTTTGTTTATTATAAAAACTGTAGTGTTGCATGAAACTCTCCAGTGTCAATCAGGTAAAGGAGACACTTTCTGAGAAAGAGGCCTCTGGTTTACGGACCATTACATTTGTTAGTATCCATTTTGCCTTTGTTGGGGTTTTATTTCTCACTCAATAATATTTACCTTCATGTTATTGTAATATTAGCGGGGCATAATAAGGTCCAAGAAGAAAGAAATGGGAGCAAATCACGAACCAGTCGTGTTTGACCAACGTAAATGCTTCAACTTTGTAAGTTTTAACTCAAGCCGTGGTTCAGCTGGATGTTCTAGTTGCCAGGAAATGGGCATAAAATGAAATTAGTTTCTGTCTAATGGCTCCTCTCTAAAAGAAATTGAATTTTCTGAGCTCTGGTTGCGTTGGGATCTCATCGTGGGATGTTGTTGCATTTGATCTGGACTTTCAAAAGACAGACAGGCGCTTTTTACGAAACTATACTAATTTTAAAACACGTGCTAGACTACTCAATATCTATGAAAATACACTTATATACTTTCTGGGACTAACTGTCTCCTTGAGTAAAAATTTCACTGGAAAAAAACATTCTGTTGTGAGTAGAAACAAGGAAAATGTATATTTTGTCTTTTAATGGTCACAAACACAGTCTGGGTGTCAGGTGACTCATTACAGTTCAGGGTGTGTCTAAGCTGTCCAGGAGAGGTCCAAAACAAGTCATCGCTGTCGGATTATAATAAACAACGTTGTGCGTGATTCTGCTCACTCACTGGAAAGTGTGTCACGTTATCCATAAATAGCACATTTCTCTGCAGCTGCCCAGATGCGGCCTGTCCTGTAAGCCTTAAATGTATTACTTCTATCCCTCCCATTGCACTTTATTGATATAAAATTACGCCATGGTCCTTGTAAGTATGCATGCATGTATGTTTTAGAGAGTCTGAAAACTAAACAAACAACTCTTATTCTTCTCAGGGAGGATGGACGGCTCTCATGTGGGCAGCCTACAAAAATCGGACAGATGTGGCCCAGCTGCTTTTAAAAAGGGGGGCTAACCCTAACATCACTGGACAGGTACTTGTAGTCGAAATGAGCTCATGCTTAGCTTCTGTTGGTTGTGAGACTCGTGTAAAGCTTTGAAAAATCAAGGACTTATTATAAGAACAAACAAACAAACGTAATTTTGTAGAAACTAGAATTTTAAATGGTTTAAATGGGGAGTAATCGCCGTGGTGCACATGTAACTAAATGTAAATGTTTCCTGCTGTTGAGGCTTTTGTGAGACTGCAGGCCTAACACTGATCATTAGTTACAGTCAGCATGACCTCACCGCTGTCCTCTGGTCCAACAGTACAGCGTCTACCCCATCATCTGGGCGGCAGGTCGGGGCCACGCAGAGATTGTTCATCTTCTGCTGCAGTATGGAGCCAAGGTCAACTGCTCCGACAAGGTACCTACGCAATGACAGATGTTTACTTGTTTTTAATCACACAGTCTGTTTTTGTTATCTTTACATGTTCGAAAAAAATTCTTTATGATAATGAAATCTTTGGCACTAAAGTCTTTCGTTTCTAATTGTCCACACAGTATGGCACCACTCCTTTGATCTGGGCAGCCAGAAAGGGCCACTATGACAGTGTGATGCACCTCTTAGCCAACGGCGCTGACGTGGACCAGGAAGGAGCTGTAAGTTGGTTGTAAGGTTGGGTGATTGGACGAATTTATCGACCATCGGTGATAGGCAGAGCGCTTCGTCGATCGTTTTTATGAACGATATTTTATTTATGTCTGGGAATTGGTCTTGTGGATGGGACATTACAAACTTATGTCAAATTAGCGTCTTTTCGAATGTGGATGGGGAAGAAAAATAGAATATTAGACTTTACCTTAGTCAATTTACATTTTGAAACTGCAGTTTGTAATGTTTTCCAAATTGATGGCATTTGTTTTTTCTAATGTAAAATTTGCAAAATATTTGTGAAATAAATTCTGATTTTACAGCTTACAGTCGCAAACTCAGAAGGAATGACTTGATGTCATCTGATGACGCTGTTTGTTTTGGTGTTAAGACCCACACACACACACACACACACACACACACACACACACACACTCGCACACACTATCAAATTCAGTTCAATTCAATTCATAAATACTTTATGGGAAATTGATTTAATCCCAGAGGGAAATTGATTGCAGTTGTGACGTTGTGCAGCTGCGCTCCTTCCAGCCGTATTCCATCTGTTCTGACAAACTGAATGATGTAGCTGTTCTACATGCAGCATCAATAATCAGATAGATGTAGTTAATGCTGCAGAAACAAGTATTTGTGTGTGATTACGATCCAGAGTCTCAGGAATAAATGGTCACTAGCCACCAGCAACTCCCAAAGCTGCTGAAACGTGTCAGAAAACATTTTGTTGCTGCTAAGAAGCTCATGGATCCCTGACTGTGTGTGTATCATTTGAAAACAAACACATCTTTTACATCGATTAACATCAAAGGGAAACCGATGTTTAAACAACCCGCACGCGTACGAGCCACGTCTTTCTTTGCTCCCACAGAACTCCATGACAGCTCTGATTGTCGCCGTCAAAGGTGGCCACACCAAGGTTGTCAAGGAGCTCCTGAAGAGGAACCCGAACGTGAACATGACAGACAAAGATGGAAACACGGCCCTGGCTATTGCTGCCAAAGAGGGACACACTGAGATTGTGCAGGACCTGCTTGATGCTGGCACTTATGTTAACAACCCAGACAGGGTGAGATGATTTATAACCTCATCAGTCTGCTGTTGGACACCAAACGGGTAAATTATGGCTTTTTGTCTTTTTATAAACGTGTTCAGAGTGGAGAGACTGTTCTGGTTGGAGCAGTAAGAGGAGGTCATGTTGAGATTGTTCGGGCTCTGCTGAATAAATATGCCGACGTTGATGTTAAGGGCCAGGTAGGCGTTGCTCTATGTCTTTCTTTGACATTTACACTCCAGCAAATGTAACGTTTTCCTGATCAACATTTATTCATTTATAACAAATGTAATTGTTTATTAAGGATGTTTGCTTCATCCTTTCCTCTTCAGGATGGAAAGACTGCCCTCTACTGGGCAGTTGAGAAAGGTAACGCGGTAATGGTGAGAGACATCCTGCTGTGTAACCCTGACACGGAGAGCTGCACCAAGGTACATTTATGAATTTCTTCCTTTATGAAACTTTTTTTGCATTAATAGTAAATTTACTGATGGTTTAAAATGTGTTTTAACTGAATTTCTGCTTTGTTTGTCATGCAGGAGGGAGAGACCCCCCTTATTAAAGCTACAAAAATGAGGAACATAGAAGTAGTGGAGCTGCTGCTGGATAAAGGAGCCAAAGTGTCTGCGGTGGACAGGGTACATTTACCAGACTGCGCTCATTTCTTCAAAGTGTTTTCACTTTTGCTAATCACAAAGTTTGGTGTTTTATTGAACCAGAAAGGAGACACTCCTCTTCACATCGCCATCCGCGGACGAAGCCGAAAACTGGCTGAGCTGCTGCTGAGGAACCCTAAAGATGGCCGCCTGTTGTACCGGCCCAACAAAGCTGGAGAAACTCCGTACAACATCGACTGTACCCACCAGAAAAGCATCTTGACACAGATATTTGGAGCCAGTGCGAGCCATTTCTTCAGTTCATTCTAAAATCAGAGTGACCTCTTGTGGATTTGAAACTCAAACATATCAAGTGATTTTATTTGAACTCTGTCTGTGCTCTTTATCTTTTGCAGAGCACCTGTCCCCGACCGAATCAGATGGAGACATGCTGGGTTATGACCTGTATAGCAGCGCTCTGGCAGACATTCTTAGCGAGCCCACCATGCAGCCACCGATCTGCGTCGGCCTGTATGCTCAGTGGGGAAGCGGCAAATCATTTCTTCTCAAAAAACTTGAGGGTGAGTCTTTGAAGGAGGAGAAATGTGCTCTGAACTGCACCACATCTCTGTCCGTGTTCTCACGTCTCCTCTCTCGCCCATCCCTTGCTCATCAGATGAGATGAAGACATTTGCGGGACAGCAGATAGAGCCGCTGTTCCAGTTCTCCTGGCTGGTGGTCTTCCTCACTCTGCTCCTATGTGGCTCTGTCTCCGTCGTCTTGGGTTTCACTGTTAATCCCAAGTTGGCAATCGCGATCTCCCTCAGCCTCCTCGCTCTGCTCTACATCTTTTTCAGTAAGGAAACAAAAGGAGCTTCATTGTTATTTTATTTTAAACTAAATATACTTCTAAATAGATGAATAAATACTGACACTCCCTGAACTCACTAGAGCAGTGGTCCTCAAATAGTGGCCTGCGGGCCACGTCCAGCCTGCGAGCCCTCTCTTTGTGGCCCCCAAACACCGCACGCACCCCCTCACCCCGACGGCCGACCAGGAGGTGTAGGATAGATGGAGCTGAGGAAAATAATCAAATAACCAATGCATGAGATGCGGGCATTCTGCATCATAGAAGAGTGCCATAATCAATTATAGTGGAATGTAGTTTTGTTATTTTAACGGCGGCACCAGCGTAACATCCAGATCTGTCAGAGCGGTGTTCTCCACATTTACCGGGTAGGAATCTTTGGTCCGCCTTTATGTGGTACTGCAGGGCTGAGCGCTGGAGTTATAACCTGAGACCGAACCCGAACCGAATCAGCCCCAACGGTTCTGAACTATTTGGGCCATGAATTGTGTTAATTGAGCGGGTTGTTGCGTGGCGTGCTCCGCTTGCTCGATCAGCGACTGAGAGAGAGAGAGAGAGAGGATCGGAGAAAGCTCCTCCAAACATGCGTTATTATTTTCATAATTTCATTATTGTTTCTCCTGGAAGAGCTCAGTCAGACCGAGTGCTGTGATGTCGGGAGGTCAGGTCTTGGGGAGGGAGCGGGGTCAGTGACGGCGGCTGCAGCGTAACCTGTCTCTTATTTAGGGACACGGAGAAGATAAAGGAGAGAGGAATAGAAGATAGAAGTTTTTGTTCCACTTTATTCTTTTGTTTCATGATGATAAACTGAGGTTAAATTCAGCTTAAAGAGAAACTGGGACGAAGCTTTGGTTCATTTTAAGTTACAGGAGGTCTTCTTCCCTATCTGCTCGTCCAGAGACAGCATGGACATAAAGGTCACATGGTGAGGGTCCCACAGGACAGGTTAGTGCAGTCACACAGCCGAGCAGGAGGGGGACAGGTGTTGTCCTTCTTTATATTGCAAGCTATGTGCATGACAGCCAGGCATCCAAGCAGCAGCCCCCTACCCCCACCCCGTCCGGCTCTCTTGCTTCTGGGTCTTTTTTGTGAGTGGCCCTTGGACCATTATAATTGAGGATCCCTGCACTAGAGGGTGCCATTCCACTTCTCAAGATCACCCTGATGTCCTCAATTGAGATTCTTACTAAATATTTAAATGTGTTGCTCATGTATTTTTGTGTTTCCAGTGTTGGTTTACTTTGGAAGCCGACGTGAGAGGGAAAACTGGAACTGGGCGTGGGTCATCAGTACCCGCCTGGCCCGCCAGATCGGTTACTTGGAGCTGCTTCTCAAACTGATGTTCGTAAACCCGCTAGAGCTTCCTGAGCAGACGACTCGAGCCTTACCTGTCAGGTGATGAATTATAGAAAAGCTCTTACAGAATGTTAACATTTAACCGTGCTGTTAACATTCTGATTTATTGTAAAATGAAGCACTACACTGCAAAAAACAATTTTAAAGAAAGTAAAAAAAAGTTTATATATGTGTGTGTGTGTGTGTGTGTGTATGTGTGTGTGTGTGTGTGTGTGTGTGTGTGTGTGTGTGTGTGTGTGTGTATATATGTCTTTGATCTTAAAAACAATTTTAAAGAAAGTAAAAAAAAGTTTATATATATATATATATGTGTGTGTGTGTGTGTGTGTGTGTGTGTATGTCTTTGATCTTAATTTTAGTTTTAAAAAGAAAAAAACCTTACCTGCAAAACAACACTTTAAAATAAAGTAAACATGATGTTTTTATACGCTGTTTTTGCGAGGCAAAATTTCTAAAAGCATACCTTTTTTTTATTTGTTTTTTGCAATATTAGCACGAATTCTCAAAAGTACAATTTGTGTGTGTGTGTGTGTGTGTGTGTGTGTGTGTGTTTTTGTTTACCCAAACTAAAAGTTTCAGTTTTTTTCTCGTGTTACACAGATTTTTGTTCACAGATTATAACCGTCTGTCCAGCGTTGGGGGGGAGACCTCCTTAGCTGAAATGATCGCCACGCTGTCGGATGCCTGTGAGAGGGAGTTTGGCTTCCTGGCCACCAGGCTTTTCAGGGTTTTTATGAATGATGAAATTAAAGGTAAGCACACAAATCCAGATGCTTTACTGCTGCTATAAAAAAATCAAACATTTGACACTTAAACCAAAGAATGAATAAACGTCAATAACCCAAACACATAATCACAAATGATGAAACTTTGCTTATCTCTGCAGAAGGGATAGGGCGTAACATACGTAGTGTTATTCTTACTTATTCTTGGTCTTGTTCTAGCAGAGGCAATAAAATAGTGTTGGGCATCGTTTGATTTTGAACGATTCCGATTCTGATTCTGATTCCTCGTTTTGATTCCGGTTCCTATCGATTCCCGATTCCGATCTTCCAAGACATGACGTGTTTTACATGAGCCAGCCAACCACAGGTCCTACTTGCTGAAATAATCTTAACTTCAACATGAATTTTAATTCTATGAACAATAAGATCGCCTTCATTTAGACAAAAACATGTTTTGGAGAAAAAAAGAATAAGACTTGCAACACAACCAGAGTGTTTGATTCTGACCACAACCAAAGTCTGGAAGAAGTCTCAGGGTTGAGAGGCTAAATGTCTCCAACAAATCCAGAAACGTCCAGCTGTTTCCAGCTGAAACTCTCAGGATGACCATGTCCAGGATGACTGAGAACTACACCTCCATGCTGCAGCAGCATTCAGTCAGAACAGGAAGTGAAACTTAATTGTAGCTGCTGTCAGTAACAATCTAACAGATTTTAAACATTAAAACTCAACAGAAATGGTTCAGAAAGGAAATTTCACAACTTTGGTTGTGGTTTATTATTATTATTATTATTATTATTATTATTATTATTATTATTATTATTATTATTATTATTATTATTATTATCATTTATTGTGGCAGAAGCTGGTGTGGTCCACCACAGAGAAAGCTTCTCTAGCACGATGACTTTAATTATTCTACAGGTTATTGTTCAGCCTTCTGACGCTCACACACACACACACACACACACACACACACACACACACACACACACACACACACACACACACACACACACACACACACACACGAGTGTTGGTGAGCGGCTGCGTCTGACTGCTGACGCTCCGTGTTTGTTTTTATTTCTGCAGTGAGACAAACTCGCCTCACACCGTCCAGAGTTTGTTCTTTAAAGCTTCTATTGAGTCCTCCGTGTTGACGTCTTTTTGCACGTTTCCTCTACGATGCAGGAATTAAAGTTTACATTACGGAATAAAAGTTTGGCAGACACATTTGATTATATTTGGGCGCTGCGCGCCGGGTGGGGGTAGGGGGGACTCGGTGCTGCACACAGAGAGCTGGTGTGATCAGCTCTGAAAAGCGTTGATCACAATTTGCAGATCACGTTTATTTTTCACGGTGATTGGTGGCGGATTCCTCTTCCGGTCGGCATACTAGGAATTGAAACTAGGAACCGAAATAAAAAACTTTGAACGATTCCGGGAAAAACTAACAGACAGTCCCGGTTCCAATCGATGCTCGATGCCCAACCCTAAAGGCAAACCTTTTTATTTTCAGCATTTCTTTTACTATTGTACATACATCTAATTATAATGGCACATATTAATAAAATATTAGTTAAAGATAAACATAAGGATGTGTTTTGCTGAAATTCTGGCGATACGAAATGTATCACAATACAATATATCACGATGTATTGCGGTACATTCAGTCAGACGTTATTAGCGATTTTTTTTACTGAATTTTTTGTAGGAATATTCCATAAACAGTCCAAACTGATAAGTTTAACATGAGGTATCTCAACCATAATAGAAGGATTTACATTTCAATGGTGGAAACAGAACCTACTGCACACTGCTGCCAACTGGCAGTCGGCGTTTGAATTGCACTAAGAAAAGAAAATGCACAAATGTTTGCATGTAAATTCTTCCAAAAATCAGATACACGGCTTTTGAATATCGATATAATATTGCAGGACAAAATATCACGATATATTGCCATATTGATATTTTCTTACATCCCTAGAAAATAGGGATCTATCTAGTCTTTCTGGTATAATTTTAAAAGGCGTGTAATGTAAACAGGAATTGACTACTTGATGTGTATCTGTCTAATTTCACTACTTAATTTTCTTCAGGTCAAAAGTGGAAGAAGACTTGCTGTGTTCCCTCCTTTGTGCTGTTCTCATTGACTCTTGGCTGTCTGATCACAGGCGTGGCCCTGTTGGCCATCTTTAAGGTAAGGCAAAGCAAAAACAAATTGTTAGATTTATTTTAAACCTTCCAAAGAAGAACTGTTCACTTCATTTTTCTTTAAATTGCTGTAAGTTGTATTTTTTTGAGTGTGTCGATGAGAATTAAATGGTAGAAACAGCAAAGTTTCCCTGGAAAGTCCCAGACTTTTAATTTAACTGAGTCATTTTTGGGTTTTTCAGGTGGACTCCAAGAATCTAACGGTAAATGCAGTTCTGATAGCCATGGCCAGCGTGGTAGGCCTGGCTTTGCTGCTGAACTGTAAGACCTGGTGGAAGGTAGCCGACTCTGTCCTCCACTCCCAGAGGAAACGGCTGCACGGCGCTGCCAACAACCTGCATAAGCTCAAAAGTGAAGGATTTATGAAGGTAGATTCATAAATGGATGTTGTTTTCGCCGCTTACAGGACCGTAGCTTTACTTGTGTTGTTATTTCCTTTCAGGTCCTGAAACATGAAGTTGAGATGATGTCAAAAATAGCCAAAACGATCGATGGCTTCACTCAGAACCAGACACGCATGGCTGTCATCATCGACGGGCTAGACGCCTGTGAACAGGACAAAGTGCTGCAGATGTTGGACACAGTGCGTAATGTGAAATATGATCGACATAACTGTACTTTAGGACTCCTATGTTAATAAAACATTACAGCAGAATGGGACTCTTTTTGCTCACGCATCTGTGTTGCAGCGTAGAAACTTTGGTGCTACTAGCTGCTTCAAGCTTAGGTTTATCCTTCCAAATTCTGTAATAAAATGTCCTCCTGCTAAATGTTAATTGGTGATATAATCCCTGGCAAGATGGCAACCCTCTTTCTGCTTTGATTCTCTTCATGCCTCATTTGAAAATCCGATTTTACTTGGATCTTTAATGTCGTCAGCCTTGATGGAGACATCATGAGACCTCCTCGGTTTGTAGCGATGACAGCTGCTTTGGCAGGAGAGCTTCATCGTCCTGCGGGGTGAGCCCGAGGGTTCTGGACAGGGTTTAACAAACCATGAAGGCATGCAGCGCTAATCGATCTCCTGTGACTCTTGGACAATGTTGCTTTGTTAGCAGAGTGGAAATCCCCTGTCCCAGTCAGGTCTTGCTAGAGTCATTAAGTTTCAGCATTACAGCTGACTGTTTCCTGTAGCGGTTGAGTCCTTGACTGATTACTTTGAGAAGTTTTACGCTGACACTTCAGTAGTGGATCTGCTGTGCTACAAACTCAGGGTCTAATTTACAACGTTGGCTCTTAACGCTCTGCCAGGTGCAACAGGTAGATGTTCAGATGAGTCATGCGGTGTGAAGGTTTAAATGCTCATCATGTACTTACTTTTAGTTCCTTTACTCTGTCTAGGTGAGGGTACTCTTCTCGAAGGGTCCTTTTATCTCCATCTTTGCCAGCGACCCCCATATTATAATAAAAGCTATTAACCAAAACCTCAACAGCGTGCTGAGAGACTCGAACATCAACGGGCACGACTACATGAGAAACATCGTCCACCTTCCCGTATTCCTCAACAGCAGAGGGCTCAGTCGAGCCAAAAAACTTTGCATGGCACCCTCCAACAATGGAGAGGCTCTGCCTGCTGAAGGTAAGGATGGCCCTCGTTTTTGAGTATTATTTTGGCGTCTTACCATTTTTCTCATTCCTGATTGTAATTTTGTCTTTCTTGTCCCTAGGATGGCCTGAAGACCCAGACAGGAAGGTGTCTCAGAACAGTTTGTCCCAAGAGCAGGGCAAGCTTGGCAGCAAGAATGCACTAAACCGACGGGTAATTGGTGCTAAAGTCGACCCTTTTATTTTTGTAAATGCCAACGTAGCCGGCGATGTTCTGTTGTGGTTCTGAAACCAACCTGGTGTTGGCAGGCGGTGCATGGGGCCATAGTACAGACAGGGGACATGCATAGATGAAAACAGAGAGGTGCTCGGTGTGCGGCCAAGGTTCCTGGTGTAATTGATGTAATGGCTGTTTATCCTTCCTGCTGTGTTGCCACAGCCTAATGACAAGGCCTAGCAGCAGTGGGTCCCTGTGACAAAACACTGGCACCAGTTCTGCTGGCAGGAGGCTAAGTGACTCTGCTGCTTTCACTGATGCATCCTCCCCCCTGTGAGATCCCCCCCCCCCTCTTTTTTTTCCTTTCTGCCTTGTTTGTTTGTTTGTTTGACATTTGCTTGTACCCCATGTTTATCTGGTTCCCTCAATTATTGCTGTTGGCCCTTTTACCATGTCAGAGGATTCTCTTTTTCTGGGGGAAGCTAGATCTTGGCAGGAGGGCTTGTTTTTCTACAAGTGGAGATTAAAGTGAGGGCAGGAGGGGGAAATCAATTAGTGGCTTTTCATTTTCTTGTAACTTATTTATTTATTTTTTTTATTTATTTTTACTGCAGGTATACTAGACTGATCATTTATTTTTGAAAATAGGTAATTCCATCTTCATAAACCCAAAGATGGTTGTAATGGTGCGTTTATAACACTGACTGTTTAGGTACTATAAATGAAAAGAAAGCCCCGTGGAAGCCTCTGTGTGACAGACCTTTGCAGATCTGACTGAGTGGTGGCCATGTGTTCGGTCTCCCTGAGAAATGGGTCATAAGACTGGTATTATAACTTCAAAGTTGCCCAATAGCCTCCCATTGGCTCACGACCATGACAGCTGTTTGATATCACCACAGCTGTTCTCCTGTAGATCAGTGTCAATAGCCGACCCATGTCATGACTCTGTGGCTTTGGACACTGGCTTTTAGTTACTTCTGTATGTATTACGGCTGGTTCTTATGGCAAGCCAGAACCGCCTTAATACGCCACTTCTCCCCGCAGCTCGGCGCATCTTTGTCTGATCGCGGCTTCTGTGTGCTGCACGGGCTGACGGCTTGTGGGGCTCTGGGATGGAAACCTTTCCACCCGGTTCTCCCCAGCGGCAGCTTTGTGCATCTCAGATCGCAGCGGCGCTTGTCTGCTGTGCGGCTGCCGGCTTGTGGAGGTCTCAGAGGCCTCTGTGTTCCAGCCGGTTTTACCCAGCAGTCAGCCCGGCGTATCTCTGACTCAGAAGCTCTGGTGTTGTGCACAGTTAACTCCGGTTGTAGCTAGGTTGCTACCTCCGTTAGTTTAGCTCCCACCTCTGCATTAGCTTTGGGTTAGCTTCAGGTTAGCTTGTAGCTAGTTCGACCGGGTGTCGTCATTCAATCCCAGCCTTACAGCCCCACCCTCAGCTCAACCTCTCTTCCCTTTTATGGAATTGTCTGGGCTTGACGGAACCTGTGACACGGTCAAAATGGCGGTGATGGCCACCTCCCAATTTATCAGAAAAACTTGTTATTGAAGTCTATGGAAACCCATTGTCCATATATTTATGTCGATGATGTATTATGACACATTCAGAGATGTTATCTAGAAACGGGAAGCTCCTTTTATCCACTACAGATCCTAAAAGCTACCAGCTTTAGCTCAACTCTGAACTGGCTCACTTCTGGATCCTGAAACAGGAGCGGGAGAGCTTTCTTCCCTCAGAGATCGACTCCCAGGGCATTCTGATATGAGTGAACTTTGTCTTTAAAGAACGTTTGAGTTGAAAGAGATCCAATAATTCAAAACCACATTTATCTTGGTGAATATAGGCAGTTTGGGGTGTCACATGTACCTTACCAAAAAGCCTTTGCCTACTTTCCTGTGCATATTCATAATGTTGTAATGGCCGCAGAGAAACGGTTCGCTCTCAGAAAAGCTAGTTTAATACATCTTGAGATTAAATGCACTTGAACGCAGAAACTTTATTGTTGGTCGACTTAATGCTAATCACCAAAAAATGCTACTCCTAGCTAAAGCTAACCATAGCCCGAGCTACTGCTAATGACCTTGTTAGATGAGAGGAAAACAGCGAAGAATGTTGGAGCTCACATGTAACGTTCCAGGATGTTCTGGGAACATCCAGACTTTAAATGGTAAGTGGCCTGTATTTGTATAGTGCCTTTGTGGGGTTCTACAACCCCCCAAGGCACTTCACAACACAATCAGTCATTCACCCATTCACACGCTGGTGGGGATGAGCTACAGTGTAGCCAACGCTGCCCTGGGGCGCACTGACAGATGCGAGGCCTGCTGAACACTGGTGCCACCGATCCCTCCGACCACCACCAGCAGGCAAGGTGGGTTAGGTGTCAGACAGCTCATTCTGGCAAAGAGGGTGAGGTAAACCAGCCTTTTCATTGTAGGGCTTTGATATGGGTTTTTTGGGCCATTTATCAGAGGCTCCCTGGCCATTTTGAGCCCCAACAAAAGTTTCATGTGCTAAATAGAAGCTCAAATGACGTTTTGTAATACAATTACACCTAGGACACCTTCAAGGTGGACGGCATGAATTTCTAATGGTTTTATTCGCATTTGGCAATAATGAAAAATGCAAAACAATTAAAACACCTTAGTTAGTATGTCCTTAAGTTTTTCTCTAGGAAAGATGGATCTAGTTTGTGAGTGGTTGAAATCATCCTGGTTGCTAGTTTGACATCCACAATGGGTTTCAGGCCCTTAGACTAAATGGGTTGTCTCTACCAGACTCGGTAGCTGACATGTCAGCAGGTTTGTCCTCACAACGTGGTGAAAAGAGAGCTGAGTCGGAAGGCGAAGCTCATGATTTACCGGTTTGATGTTCCCACCCTCATCTATGGTCACGAGCTTGGATAGTGTCTGAAAGAACTAGATCGTGGAAACGATGTCCAAAATGAGTTTTCTCTGCAGGGTGTCTGGGCTCTCCCTTAGAGATAGGGTGAGAAACTCCATCATCTAGGAGGGGCTTGTAGTAGATCTGCTGCTCCTCCACATCGAGGAGCCGTTGAGGTGGCTCAGGCATCTGATTATGATGCCTCCTTGTGAGGTTTTCAGGGCACGTTCACCCAGGAGAATACCTAAAGGAAGACTCAGGACACGCTGGAGGGACTATGTCTCTCGGCTGGCCATGGAACACCTTGGGAGACCCCCCCCCCCCGTTGGCGCTGGCCCAAGTAGGTAGGGAGAGGGACGTCTGGGCCTTCCTGCTTAGGCTGCTGCCCCCGCGGCCCGACCCCGGATAAGCGGCTGAAAATGGATAGATGGATTGATATTCCATATTTTAATGAGGGACCCTGGGCTCAGGAACACACAACCTCTTTATTTAGTAAAATTTGGATTCTTGATGTTTTTACCTACCTGTTTTACATCGCAGCTAGGCTGAAGTAGAATGATGAATGTCTTGTGTCTTAAGGACACGTACCGTCGTCGTCAGATGCAGAGGACCCTCACCCGACAGATGTCCTTTGACCTGACTAAGCTTCTGGTGACTGAAGACTGGTTCTGTGACATCAGTCCGCAGACTATGAGGAGGCTGCTGAACATCGTTTCCATCACAGGTAAACATACCTCTGTGTGCCGTAGCACGCTCTGATTCTGAGGTGGGATTAAACAGCAGCGTTTAATCACAACACTTATCAGTCATCACAATCGTGCTGCCTACACACAAGTGCACGTGTAGCATAGTGTTGACAAGGAAAAGATTTTTGTGATTTGATTGAGTTAAAAGATTTTATACTGTTGTAAAAGCAACGAGAAAAACTAATAAAATGTGTAAACACCTACAATAAAGAAAATACTTGTAATACATTTTAATAAATACTTAAAATTGCTCTATTTCCTAGTTTTCACAGTTTTATTAATTATTTCTGTTTCTAAATATCTGACAACTGTGGTTAATATTAAATATAGTTTTTCCTCATTAATCTGGTTTTCAGTAAATAAATATTATTCCTGAGATCATTAGTTTTTGGTTAATAGCTTATTTAGAATTATCACTTTAATAGCAAAGAAAAGTCATTCTGTCGTGTTTTACTGGTAAATAGTTCCTTATTTTACACTGTTGAGATTTTTTTTTCAATGAAATAAAGGTTTCATCATCATCAAATTTGACAACAAGCAGGACCAATGTCAACTTAGCGTGGCGCTAAATGGTTTTGGTTTCTCTTTTCTAATAAAACAGTAAAGCTAAACCTACACGTCAAGAAGACACTGGTAATATGAAAGTGAGAAACTTTTCTGGGGGGATTGTGGCGCTGTTTTTGTGCCTGAACGTCTCTTCAGAAAAAACCTAAACTTAAAACGTTCATTTTTGGGGGCTATTATCATATCTGGAGTAGGACTTGGTAATGCATCAAGCTGTGGTCTGATTGTGGTTTTTAGCTCACAGATGTAGTCATCTATCAGGCATCTGTTTCCAAATAATATCCATCCATTGTCTGAACCCTCTTTATCCACGTGGGGTTGCACGGGGGGGTGGGGTGGGGGGGTGGGGGTGCCTATCTCCAGCGGTCAATGGGCAATCAGTCGGGGTACACCCTGGACAGAGAGCCAGTCCATCGCAGGGCAACACAGAGACACACAGGACAAACACACACGCACCTAAGGACAATTTAGACAGACCAATCAACCTAGCAGTCATGTTTTTGGACTGTGGGAGGAAGTCGGAGGACCCGGATAGAACCCACACATGCACAGGGAGAACATGCAAACTACATGCAGAAAGATCCCAGGCCAGGAAGCGAACCCAGGACCTTCTTGCTGCAAGGCAACAGCTCTAACCACAGCGCCACTGCACAGCCCTTTCCAAATAATATAAATAAAAAAACCTTCTTCTTTTTTGTTCTGTGTTAGTTTCTAACTTTGTTCCAACATACATAGTTCATGTAATTCAGTGGTAAATAATGATGAGGGTGTTGGGTAAGCCCTGATTTCACACTAAACCAGACTTTTGACCGCAGTTACTGGGTTCATTTCAGTTAAACTTTTGTAAAAGTAAACAAACTTCTTTATCAAGCCACAAGATCAAAACCTAAATGTAAAAGTCAAACTAAATTTCCCGCTCTTGGGTTGATAGGACGCCTTTTACGGGCCAATCAGATCATCTTTAACTGGGACCGCCTGGCGTCCTGGATCCACCTGACGGAGGAGTGGCCGTACAGGACGTCGTGGATCATCCTCTTCTTGGAAGAAGCTGACGGAGTGTCGGATCAGGTCACTCTCAAGACGATATATGAGAGGTACACTCACACAACCACATTACTTCATTTACTGATATTTATTCTCAGTTTTTATTAAATGTATTTAAATTATACCGTTACAATAAATTCAAAAGGAGTAGAATTGTAATGTTTTAGTATTTTTTTGTTGGTCTTGTTTACTTCAACCAGCAGGTGGCAGTAGAGGATTTTGTGTTTTTACATGATCTGGTTGCATTTAGTTCAAAAGGCAGTAAGTGTCTCACTAAGTGGCAACAAGCTGTAGGGCTTTTTAACTGATCATAATCTCCAAAGCAATCGATAATATCCACACACGATTCACAGTGGAACTGCACTTGTGCTCAAATATGGAGCAGCAAATTGAAAATCCCGTTCTGTGCATGTTTAGTGTGAATGTTGACGTCTCCGAGGTCAAGAAGGCTTTTTTTAGGAGTGCAGACGAGAGGGGGAGCCTGGGAGAGCCGGAGTCTCTGGGTTCGGGAGCTGTTGTGCATCAATCTCTGGCCTTTAAAGGTTGCACTCTGTCACAATACACTAGCGCCCATGACTCCCGCGGCAGGGATGTGTCACAGACAGTCACTGTCAGCTAGTCAGCCAGCCACATTCAGCAGATTACTCTCCATCCCCCTCCCAAACAGCCCTTTGCCTCATTAGGCCTTCTTTTTAGTTTGTTTCTACTGTTTGGCTTTTAGGAGAAAAAAAGTCACGTGGCGTTGGACATATATAAGGGAAGGGGCATAGCTCTTTAGTCATAATTATTGCATAAATACTCTCTAGAAACAGCCGTTTGCTTGTTTTTGACCAACATTCCTGTCTCTATCTCAGTCTTCTCTGAGCATCTTTCCAAATGGCTGCTCTGTTTCACAGCGGCTGTCGCAGTAGCCGACCTAATGATGATGACAGGAAGCTCAAACAGGCTAAACACGGAGGCCTTATCTCTCGCACCGATCTTCCGCTGATAAGACTCGGGCTTCTGTCCGAGTATCTTTATATGTCTCTGTTCTTCTCTTCCTCTCTTTCTTTTTCTGAGGCTCTTTACGTCTATTTTGTTCTGGATGAGTTGTTCTTTTCCAGCTACGATGGACAACCTCAGGGTCATCTAACCCTCTTCATTCATGTAGCTTACCATTCGACTCCCTTATCTGGTTGTTAGCGTTAGCTCATTCGATTTTCTTACCACAGGACCAGCGTTGTTCCCATTTCAACTGTGTTCTTGTACAAATCCTCGTGCTCAGCCATTTTCACGCAGCAGAACGGCACATCCCCTGAGCGTTACTAAGTGAATATATTAGTGGTGAAGTGAACGCGGGGGTGAGTCAGCCCCTTATAGGTCAACTGTCGCCCTGCATCTCAGTCACAAGGCAACATGCTCTTCCTCTCCTCTCCTCTCCTCTTTGTAAGGCTTGCTACTCAACAGTACATAGATTACCATAAATACTATGGGCTGTAAATCACACAATTGGTGAATAATGTTGCTGGGAACAAATCTTTGTCAGAAAAAAATGAAACTAGTTCCATGGTTTTTGCTAATTCCTTCAAATGTGATTAAATACGAAACATTTTTCTCTTTTTTTTTAAACAAGCCAGTGATTAAAGTCACCTGAATCACAAGTTATATCAAAAAATTAAGTTCTCACCTGCTTTTTCCCTTATCTTACAAAAGCACAAAGGCTTTCAAAAGTACTGAGAGCTTAAAACAAAACAAATGGTTTAACTAAGAACAAAAACCCTCTATGGGCTGGGAGGTGTCACAGTCACAGATGGTGAAAAAGTGTTCTGTTGGTTTTCAAAGCCGGAGCAGAGCAGCACGGCCTTCCTAATCTGATGGAGAATGTCTAATCAGTTATTAACCTCAGAAATGTCCTTCATTACTGGTCAGACTGGTGGAAACAGCCCAGACTAACACACAGTAGCTTTAATCCAGCTGAGTGTTTGTAACACATGCTGCTACAAGCACCTCACCTAAGTCACAGTTAGGACTTTCTTTCACCAGATCCACCTCCCTGAAGGATCTGTTCCAGCTTTCATTAGACCAGTTGTGTCCAGTCCTGGTCTCGACGGCCCACTAACCTGCATGTTTGCCTGATTCCCCACCAGTGGTTGTATTAACTCTTTACATTTTGTAGAAACCCGTTGATCAACCGATTCAGGTCAGAGAAACATCTAAAACATACGGACGGTGGCCCTGGAGGGCCAGGATTCAAAACCTCTCCATCAGGTGTTACATTTTAGTTTTTGTGTTTACATGAAGTTTAACCAATGCCATAAAGTCTCAATTCCACCAGACGTGAAAGTGTTGCGAAACGGCTGCGGAACGTACTTTGCAGCAATTAGCCGCTGTTATAGTGGGTGGGGTCCTTGCCACCAGCAGCTAAGTGTAACGTTTTGGACACGCCCCCGAAAGGGACACTATCATTAAGTTTCAAGTGTATTATTTACACTCTGCGCTTCCAAAACACATCAAACTCCACAGTTTACATCTGGCCAGATAGGAAGTCAAACACAAAAGCAGTTTAAAACATGTGGAAACTTTCGAAATAAAAGTCACATGCAGTACGTCATTGCCCATAAAACCCCCGTGGCCGATGTAAACAGAACAAAAAATACACCCGAGCTTTTTGAATACATTCAGATGCCTTCCTCTCCTTGCTTGTCATTTTGTGGACTTTTGAAATCACGTAGAGTTGCAATTCTCCTGTGATTTTGTGACCTCACAGGATCCACTTTGTGGAGTGCTTTTGCTTCCGTTTCACGTCAGATTTGCTCCCAGTTGGAGGGGAGATTGAGAATAAAACGCTTCTTTTATGTTACACACCGCTTTCGCGTCTGTAGAAACGAGGCTTCAGCATCCTTATAGAAGCTTACTACATATATAACTGGTGAAAATGTGTCATCAAATAAGCAGTCAACCGAGGGCCAACAGATTAAAGGCTCTCGTTCACTCATTATAAATCTGCTGTGCGGTGTAGAGTGACTTTTGAGCCGTTCTCTGTGGAAGAAAAGCTCTTTGTTTCAGGAAGTAGAAGTTAGCCTATGTACTGTAGTAAGAGTCAGAAAACGCCTAGGTTATTATTCATGACATCTAACATCTGATTGGCTATCACCACAAAACTCTTCCTCTGCCTCCATTCACTCAGCTGCATTGATCCTTTAGCTCCACAAATAACACAAGTCTGAGGGATTTTTGATGTCTTGTGTGAAGTTACTAATGATAATGATTAGCTTCTGCAAGCAGAGAGGCGCTCTGCTCTCTCCTAGCTGACGACAATCAACCCAGCCATCTGCGTCCGCGAGCAAAGATGAGTCCATGATTACAAATTTACAATGTGATGTAGATCTGTGTGGCTTTCTGTGACCTGAGCTATTCCCCGTCTATTTTCTTTGGCAGCTAATACCTGAAATAGGGGTAGAAGACAATTCTCGCATTCTACCTGCATCAAAATTGGGATCGTATTTCAAAGATAAAATGTAATAAACGGTTTCTCTTTGAACTTGCGCTTTAGGTTAGTAGCTGACGAAACAAAAAGGAAACAAGTTTACATGTTAGCATAAAAAACCGGTTAGCTGTGACATGCTGGGCTGGAATAAGTCAGAATGGTCTAAAGTCAGATTGGATAAGACACATTCATAACTTTCAATAGCACGACATCGGTTTGTTCATTTTTATTGGTTGTTTTTCTGTAACTGCTCGCACAGAAGAACCTCTGCCTGTAACATTAACATATTTGCATCTGGCGAAGTACGAGGGCGGGTTTTGTCAGACCATCAAAGAGTTTTTTCCTGGATGCCCAGATCCAGTTTTTAGCTCTAGAAAAAAGTATCACTGGTCCACTGAGCAGGTTTCTGCACCACTCTGACATCTGGTGCCCCGTCTGTGCCAGGATGCCCCCGCTGCACTCCGGAGTGTGTTTCTGGCTTTGCACCTGAATCTCCTGTTCGTCACACGCACGCACGCACGCACGCGCGCGCGCGCACACACACACACACACACACACACACACACACACACACACACTACCACCTGCTAAACATTTAGAAACACCTCGACACACCTACACACCCGAGTTTCGGCGATGCATCTTGCTGTAACGGTATTTGCAACAAGAAGTTTTCACAGTAAACTAATCACACGCATGCGGTGCATGTGCTACTCTCATACACACACATGCGTTTTCTCACACATAGAACTACCTCTCACACCAGTGCATGAACATATGTCACCCCGAACTCCTCAGAGAATCGTGTAATTAATCAGACCCTGAGATGCAGGCTGTGTTTAGCAAACATGAACACACACATGCACACACACCAAGAGGAATACATTCCAGGTAGAACTGTTGTGTTTCAGCTGTGGTGTTATTGCTTTTGACTGTTTTGGGTTTGCATGCATTCATCCTCTTGTCTCCTATGTTTCTAGCTTTTTTGGACACTCTAAAAATGTATTTTTTTTTACTAATCAAATCTGAGTGAATATGTAGCCCTGCAATCCACTCTTAATTAGAGCGACTCTTATCCCTAGTGCTGAAACATTAAGATGACACTCTCTTCGTTCAGGATTACTTTAATTGGCACAATTATTGTAATTTACTTGCAATGATGTGCTGAGTTGAAAGAGCCATTCCAAAGCTCACGCTGGCACTTCCTTTTATACCGAGTCCATTAATAAGCAATTCAAGTTTGTCCGCAAAAACAATGTCATCCCGTTTTTTTCTTTTAACAACCCTACATGAATTTTTCCTGCCGATGAGTGGAACGTCTTCATTTACGCGCCACATGGCTCTATTGTTCATGGAATTGCCCGTCCAATGTTCTAGATACACAGCAAATGCGAGAAATGCTTTCGCCCCATTTCTCTGTCCTCAGAGGGAGCCTATTGTCCCTGAGTGAAATCCCCCTGAGCAAAAGTGTTTTAACGAATTAGAGTGAAAGCGTTAGCCTCATTGCTAGTTGTCTTCTTTCTCCACGAGGTATGAAAACATGTAACTTTATGAGAGCGAGTTTGAGGTCATTTATGGACACGA